CGCGCCATTTTACCCCTAGACACCAATTTTCAGCTCGCTAGCTCGAGTTGTCGTAAAATGTGGTGTGTGGTCCGCACCCAATCGGTGTTTGCAGACTAAACACCGCATTTTACGACAATTCGAGCTAGCGAGCTGAAAATTGGTGTCTTGGGGTAAAATGGCGCGGGGAAGCTCGATTTTGATGATTTAGACGCGAAATTTTGAGTTTTAAAGGTTGAAAATCGATGAGAAGCTCGATTTTGGTCTTTACTGGCTGAATTTTTCTCATTTTTTCGACATTCTTCACCGTACCTTCTTCTTCAATCTCTGCTCCCTGGGTAATCTCGCGTTATACTCTGTCAAATGATACTCAGCGAGGCGTGTCTCGTGTCGAACGATCCGTAGCTGTCCAGATAGCCGGGCAACGGCATGGCGTCGTACATTTGGCTTTATGTTCACCGAATTCGGAATGTTCGCGTCGCTGACAGCTGTCCATGGACGCAAGTCGTCGTTTGAGATCTCTTTCGCATTTTTACAACTCGATCCATTGACATAGAAGACGAAGGCGCCTTTTTCAGTGGTCAGTGGGGGTAGGCGTGGCGGTTTTGGGAGAAGCCAGCCAGTGTTTTTGCTGAAAAAAAAGTTACAAAATTCCGTTTTTAGCTTGAAGAACGACCCAATAAGGCTGAGAAAATGCGTTAAAATGCTTCAAAATGACCCCAAAAACCCATAAAAATTGCGATTTTTGATCATTTTGGACACTGAAATTCCAATTTAGAGTATTTTGAGCGTCAAAAATGAGCTCAAATGACATTTTTATGCTCAAAAACGCTTCTAAAACACCCAAAAACACATAATTCAGTTCAAAAATTACATTTTTCAAAAACTTGCTCGGATGGCCTAGTGGGATTTTCGACCCCCAACTTTGGAGCCGAGGGGTCACAGGTTCGAATCCCACCGGTGGCAATTTGTTTTTAAAATGTTCTTTGGGGTTTTCAGGGGCGGGAAATTTAAAAATAGAGGTTCTAAAACTCAGAAAATTGATTTTTGGCCATTTTTAGATACGTTTTGTCTTCAAAAACACCAAAATTTATCGTTTTTGGGCTCATTTTGACCAGAATTTCGCGGGAAATTTGAATTTTCACACAGAAATATGAATGCGGCTTGAAGAATGACTCAAAATGAGCTCAAAAACAGCCGAATTTGGTCAAGAATGAGCAATTTTAGGGGGAAAGGGCAAGATTTGTCCTAATCTTGCCCATCTCATGCCCAAAGGATTTGAAATTGTTATTTTCAGTTTTCGCGTGTTTAGGTAGTCGAAATAGGTTGAAATTCACTTAATTTTCTTAAATTTTGAAAAATTTTCAAAAAATTCCAAAAACTACCGTAACCCACTCAATTTTAACCAGAAATCAAAAATTTCCAGATTTTCGAATTCAGCTCGTTGAGAGCTTCAAAATGAGTATAATCATGCCATGTTCTTGAAAAACTCAAATTTTCGAGTTTAAAGGCGCATGGTGGTCCCTGGAAACTTTCGAAAATTTTCAAATTCATCTGAAATGGGTCGTGTTTGGGCTCATTTCAAAGCTCTCAGCGAGCTAAATTCAAAAATCTGAGTTTTTTTTATCGAAAAATTGGAATTTGGCAGAGTTACGGTTGGTTCAAACAATGACCAAAAGCCAAAATCGGGTCAATTTTGGTCAATTTTAGCCAATTTTTTTGAGTACTCACCCCCACATTTGCTCAAATTCCACAGGATTTGTGAGCAGCTCAATGATCCTTTCCTTCCTCAAAAGCTCTGTCAGACATCCCGAGACTACTGTAGCGTAGCGTCGCCTTCTGGCGTCGTATCGAGTTCCGGATGGAACAGACGAACGTTTTGCTGAGCAATCCGCGTCGTTTCAATGCTACGTGGCGTCACTCGGGGCGATGGTTTGACTCGAACCGCTGGCGGTGGACGAACCATGTTTTCTGGAAGGCGTGGGCGGCCCCGTTTTTTGGTTAGCCTGAAAATAGGGAATTTTATGACTGGAAATAGGCCGTTTTTGATACTTTGGGGCTGAAATTTTGTTTTTAAACGCTTCAAAATGACCTAAAAAACCATAAAATTCGATCCGGAATTAACCAATTTTAAAATTTTAAAAAATTCTAACTGAAATTTCAAATTTTGAGCGTTTTGAGCTTCAAAATGACCTTAAAACCCCCTAAAAACCTATTTTTCCGTCGAAAAATCGAATTTTTCAAAAAAGTGCTCGGATGGCCTAGTGGGATTTTCGATCCCCAACTTTGGAACCAGGGGGTCACAGGTTCGACACCCACCGGTGGCAACTTGTTTTTCAAAATGTTTTTGGGGGTTTTCGGGGGCGGGAAATTCGAAAATCGAGGTTTTAGAGCTCAGAAATCGATTTTTGGTCATTTTTGGAGTAAAAAAAAATTCAAAAATACCTAAATTTGCCCTGCTCTTGCCCTACTCTTGCCCAAAAATGTTTGAAACCTAATTTTTCCAGTTTGGCTCATCTAGCCAATCAAAATGAGCCCATTCACGGCGCAATTGTGTTAAAATTGAAATTTGCCCTATCCTTGCCCTAATCTTGCCCATCACTTCAAAATTGCCCGAACCTGGTCGTGTTTGGGCTCATTTTGGTTGTCATGGATTGCTGAACCCGAAATTTCATATTTCAAAAAGTTAGGGCGACTATTGGGCAAGTTATGGGCAGATTTTGAATGTTTGGTCATTTTCGGCCTAATTTGGCTCATTTTGTCTCAAATTTTCGCCTGAAAAAACTAAAAACTCACGGATTTCTCTCCAAATCCGGTGCCATCTCATCGTAATCCGATTCCTGCCCATCATCTGCCTCTCCTCCTTGCCCAACACCAACATCTTCATCTCCATATTCCACATCGTCCAGCACCGGTGGTCCATCGTCATCCTCATGGTTCTGTGGGATTTCGTATTCCATTGCCACGTGGATTTGAGAGGCGTCGGTTAGGATCATAGCCTGAAAACATTGGGCTTCATATGGGCAAAAATTGGCCAAAAATTGTCCAAGGAGGGGCACAATTGGTTTTGGCCTATTTTCGGCGAAATTTTGCCGGAAATGGATAAAAATGGGCAATTTCTAGGTCATGACCTAATTTTTTGGATTTCTAGGCCATGACCTAATTTTTTGGATTTCTAGGCCATGACCTAATTTTTTGGATTTCTAGGCCATGACCTAATTTTTTGGATTTCTAGGCCATGACCTAATTTTTTGGATTTCTAGGCCATGACCTAATTTTTTGGATTTCTAGGCCATGACCTAATTTTTTGGATTTCTAGGCCATGACCTAATTTTTTGGATTTCTAGGCCATGACCTAATTTTTTGGATTTCTAGGCCATGACCTAATTTTTTGGGGTTTCTAGGTCATGACCTAATTTTTTGGGGTTTCTAGGTCATGACCTAATTTTTTGGGGTTTCTAGGCCATGACCTAATTTTTTCTCAAAATATGCTCAAAAAGGGCAAAATTGATTTTTCCTCATTTTGGACCGTATTTTGGCTGGAAATGACCGAAAAAGAGTTTAAAATAATCTGAAAATGATCCGTAAAGTCTAAAAATGGCCTACAACTAGTCTAAATTAGCCTAAAATTAGTCTTAGCTAATTTTAGTCCTTTTTTGACCAATTTTCGGGTCTAACGGACCAAAAAAGGCTATAAAGCGTCTAAAATTAGTCCCGAAAATCCAAAAGGATTACTGTACCTGCTCCTCTTGCCGCGGATTCGACTTTCTCTTCCTAGCAGCACTTTTCGGCACCTCCAGCTCACTTTTTTGGGGTTTCGGCGGTCCGGACGACGAGCTTGGCGCCCCTTCGGCCACGCCCATCAAGTAGTCGGCGTTACTGTAGCGTACGTTCTTCTTCGGCTGTCGTTTTGGACGAGCCGTCGGTGTATCTTCGGATTTGACGAACATCTGAAGGGAAATTCGATGAAATTTGAGCTTTTTCAGGACAAAAATCGCAAAAATCAATAAATTTCGACCTAAAATTCATTAAAAATCGCTAAAATTGCCCAAAAATCAATGAAAATCGATGAAAATTCGATGAAAAAACATGATTATCGGAGGTTCGGTTTGAAGGCGCACAGTCCGAAATTGTTAGCTGAGTCTCGCCACGAAACAAAATTTTTTGGTTATGCGCCTTTAATACAGTAGCCTAGTTAAAAAATATTTTTTTTGAGGGTTTTTTTGCCGATTTTCAAGAATTAATAAGCAATTTTAGGGTTATTTGAGTTGAAATTTTTAAATTTTCTATCGAAATTTGCATTTCAAATCAATTTTGATAGTAAAAACTCGATAAAAACTGAGAAAAATCGCCGGAAAAATATTTTGCTTAGTTACGGTTTAAAGGCGCACAGCCCAAAATTGTTAGCGGAGTTTCGCAACGAAAAAACAATTTTGGGATATGCGCCTTTAATACAGTAACTTGGTCAAAAAATATAATGTTCTTCGAAGGAACTTCGCGATTTTCAGCTGATTTTCACAATTTTTAAAGCAAAAATAAGTGAATTTTTCGAAGAAAATCGCGATTTTCACAAATTTTGAGTTGCCGCGAAATTTGCCGATTTTCAAGATTTTTTAGGCCGAAAGCCAAGGCCTTTCCAGCAAAATTTAGTATTTTTAAAGCTATTTTTCCCCATGAAGTTCGTCTAAATTCCCATTATTTCAACCAGTTTCCAGCTTTTTTTAAACCAACTCTCGCTAAAATCATCAAAATTTAAATTTCGTGGCGAGACCCAGCGGGAATGTTTTGGCTATGCGCCTTTAATACAGTAACCGAGCTAAATAATTTTTATGGGGGGAATTTCGCCGATTTTAACCGTTTTTCAAGCAAAAAAAGCGATTTTCAGGGTTTATCAAACCTAGAAATCCGATTTTTCAGTCAAATTTGCAGATTTTGACAGGGTTTTACCCCAAAAAATCGATTTTTCCGTCAAAAATCCTACCTCGTCCATTTCCGATGGTCCTGGTCCTGTTGGGGGTGTCGGTGAATCCTCCATTGGTTGTTAATGGGTTTTTTCTGGAAAAAAAAGAAAAATCAGAAAAAAACAACGGTTCAAAAGTCCGGAAAATTGCAAAAAAAAAAGCAAATCGTATATTTTTAAAATTGGAAAAAAATGTATAAACAAAATAGATCAAAAAAAGGCTCAAATCAGAAAAAATAGCTCGAAAATTTGGATTTTTCAGACAAATTCTAACTGATTTAGACCTAAAAATAACGAAAAAACCGTCTAAAATTCCGAAAAACAAAAAAGCCGCTAAAAATCGTGAAATTGGTGAAATTCGCGGTGCTTGCGGACAGCGCAGCAGTCCGCAACACCACCAATTTCGAATAAAACGGCGCGAATGCCAGCAGATGCTCAAATGGGTCATATGGTGGTGAAACAGTGCGCAGAACGAAGAGACGCAGGCAGCGCGACGCGGTCGCGTCGCGTGTGCAGGTAGAGACGCAGAGAAGATGCGTCTCTTTTTCCAATAACCTCTGTTTGTTGGGGATGAGGAGGTGGCCGAGGTTTTGGGGGTTTCTAGGCCAGCGAACTCGGCCAGGGAGTTTTAGGGGTGGTTTGGATTTCTTTGGAGTAGTTTTCTCTGAATTTTCAGCCATTTTTGACATATTTTCAGAATTTTTACATTTAAAGATTTCGAAAATATGTGAAAATTGTCAAAAATGGACCAGAAAACTTGGGAAGATTTGGAAAAAAAGAAATTAAAAACTTTATTCATGATATTTAAAAAAAACAAATGTAAAATATGACAAATCAGCAAGACATAAAGGAATAGGACAGTTTAGAACTGCAAAATAATTTTTTTCACAAAAAAACAACAAAGTTGGAATTTTTCGATTTTTCGATGAAGTTGTGGGCATCCAGGAGAGAAGAATCTGGAATTGAAATATTTGAAAAAAAAACCCCTGTAATTTAATCAAAAATTCATGTAAAACGAATAAAAACCAGCAAAGTTATGAGTTTTTGAAAAGAATGTCCTTAAAATTTTTTTAACACAAAATCTACAGTAACTTGGTCATTTTTTCACCAAATTTCAAAATGTTCAGATTTTTGAACTAGGCTAGTTTAGAGCTTCAAAATGAGCCCAAACACGACCCATTTTGGTGGTATTTGAAATTTCGGGTTTAAAGGCGCATGGTCCGTTTTGAAAAACCGAAAATTTCAAAGTCGACCAAAATTAGTCGTTTTTGGGCTCATTGTGAAGCACTAAAATTACGCATTCCGAAAATACAAATTGTTTTCAGATTGCTCATAATTTCACCGGATTACGGTAGTTTTTCTGTAATTTCACAGAGGTTCATAGAAAAAATGTGCTGTAATTCGGGTAATTTTTGAGCAATCTGAAAATAAACTATTTTTTGAAATCAGCAGGTTTAGTGCTTCAAAATGAGCTCAAACGCGACCCATTCTGGTGTGATTTGAAGTTTTGGGTTTAAAGGCGCGTGGTCCATTTTGAAAAATCGAAAATTTCAAATCCAACCGAAATTGGTCGTGTTTAAGCTCATTTTGAAGCACTAAACTTGCTGATTCAAGAAATACCAATTTTTTTCAGATTGCTCATGATTTCACCGGATTACGGTAGTTTTTCTGAAATTGCACAAAAATTTCAGAGAAAAACAAATTCCACCAAAATGGGTCGTATATGGGCTCATTTTGAAGCACTAAACTTGCCGAGCTCGAAAATGGATATTATTTTCAGATTGCTCATAACTTAATCAGGTTACGGTAGTTTCAGAAAAATTCAGATTTTCAAAGTCGACAAAAATGGGGGCGTGTTTAGGCTCATTTTAAAGCACTAAACGTCCTAAATTCCAATTTTTGGCCAAGAATCTTACCAATAGGTAGGAAAAACGGTGAAATAGAGATATCCAATGGCGATTAGTTGAATGAGAATGATAACTGCTGTTATCACCTTGCAATGACTATGACATTCGAGACTTTTGGTGTTAGGCCCGTTTTCCAGATTTTCAGACATTTTTTGAAAAGCTGAAATTGTTAGAAATCGATATTCAGATTTTCAAAAATCGAAATTGAAAAAGTTTTCGAATTTCAGATTTTTTGAATTTTATTGAAGTTTTTGATTTTCAAAATATTTCAGAATTTTTGAACTTTTGAATTTCTGAATTTCTAGAATTCTGAAATTTTGAATTTTGAAATTTCGTTTTTTTTTTGAATTTTCAGAATTTCTGATATTTTCAAAAAATTGAAAAAAAAACTTTTTTTCAAAGAATTTTCTAGAAAAAAAAAACAAGAATTCTCATGATTTTATGTTTAAAATATTTGTATGAAACACTAAAAAAAATAGAAAATAGATATCATGTGAAGAAGAAAAAAAAGAACAGCTGTCCCCAAAAAAAGAGCAAAAATAACTTTTTTGCTCTTTTTTTCTATTTTTCGTATCCTTTTGACTCCACGAACACTACAAACTCATTTATCACTGGCTGGAGCAATTCTGAGAAAAAATGAGTCATTTCAAAAAAAAAATTTTTTTCAAAAATTTTTTTTCATTTCATTGAAACAGTTTTTCGAATAAAAATATCATTCTTACAGTTTTGAAACTTGAAATTTCGATTTTTCATGTTTTCAGCTTCAAAATGAGCCTAAACTCGACCCATTTTGGTTGAATTTGAAATTTTCGATTTTCAAAAAGGGACCATGCGCCTTTAGCTTGGGTACTGCTCAAATCCACCCGGTTCGTAGTTTTCAAATTTTTAAATTAAAAAAAAAATTAAGTCATAACTTGATTCATTATTTACATATTTGAAAAGAATTCAAATGAAAAACATTAGATTTTTCTAAAAATATGAAAAAATTCAAAAGGTCAATTATCTTTGAACTCAATTATCTCGGTTCCTGTAAAAGATATCGCAATTCTGCCAACTGATAAAATGTTGGCAATACTATGATAAACATTTTATCAGTTTTAATTTTTGAAATATCTTTCAAAGCAACCGAGATAATTGAGCTCAAAGTTGAGGATCATAAAATAGGGGGTTTATCCCTGACCGTCAACTTTGAGCTCAATTATCTCAGTTCTTGTGAAAGATATCAAAAAGCTGTTAACTGATAAAATGTTGTTAATATTATGATAAACATTTTATCAGTTGACCACTTTTTGATATCTTTCATAGGAACAGAGATAATTGAGCTTGAAAGGAAGATTTTTTTTCAAAAAAAATTCAAGTATTATTTGAACGTGGTGAAAAAACTTTTTGGGGAAAAAAGAAAAAAACGTGAAATGGTTTAGAAAGCCAGGAAAAAAACAAACTATAATAGAAGAGGGAAGTGAAGGGAAGAATCAGTTCTTCCTTTCTCTAGGCTACTGAAAGGGGATCCCGGAGAAGGGATCCAGGATCCGGAATCCGGAAACCGAGATCCGGAATCCGAGATCCGAAATTCTGGGTCCTGGGTCCTGGGTCCTGGGTCCTGGGTCCTGGGTCCTGGGTCCTGGGTCCTGGGTCCTGGGGGTCATATCGTTTCCATTTTGTCGGCTAGAGCGCGCAGAGAAATGAGACACCCTCGTGTTTGGGCTCATTTTGAAGCTGAGGACTTGAGAAATTCGAATGTTGTTATGAAATTTGTTTCAGATATTTTATTTATCAGATAAAGGAAGTCAAAGGGATCATGTTTATCGATAGCACACGATATTTTGAAGTGGAGCGTACGGAGAGAAAGTCAGGGTTCGGCAGGTGAAGATATCGGCATATTGGAGTCAATCTTCTGAAAATCAAAATTACGAAAATTGGGAAAAAGGAAACTTATCATTTTAATTTTTCTCTCATCTGTCTTCTTCTCAGCCTTAGCTTTCTTTTTGGCAGCCTTCGCAACTTCCTTTGGGTCGTATTTATTTATTTATTTACGATTGCAAGAATCGTGGAAAAAAAAGGAAAAAAAAAACATTAAAATACATGATAATCAGATTCCAAATTGATTAATAATGAATTATAGTGAGAGGAAATGAAACTTTCGGAACAACCTAATATATTGCATTTCTGATTAAAAATAGATTAGATTCTGTTAGTTTTTTGTTCGAGTTGTTTCAGCAAAAAAGAAGAAATGAACTCCTTGATCCTGTCCTTCGAGATGAACCACTGCAAAAAGAAACTTGTACGGAAAAACAGTTTTTTCTTTGAGTTCAACTATAATGTTTTGACGCCCATAATTTGGCTTCTAGACGTGAATTACAAAGTCTGAATTGTTTTAAAAAGATGTAGTGTTTTCATATATCAACCCATTTCTTTATTTCTGGCCCAACTTACCTTATCGCCTTCTTCCAACTCGCTCATCTCTTCCAACTCGCTTATTTTAGCGTTGATTCATTCATAACTCCTTCCTCTCCTTCCAAAAATTCGTATCCAACTTCACGGAGCATATGGTACTTGTAGTCTATGTAAAATTGTCTCAAAGGAACTGAGTTCTCTCTGCATTCGGATTTCACGCGCTGTGCCCAATTGATTGTTCCGCCCACGAAGATGTCTAATTCGATCATTTCCAGTTTCTAAAAAATTTATTTTATTGTTTTTTTCCAAAAATATTTAAGCAAAATGTTACCGTGTGAAAACTTTTGGGGAGTGTGGCGATTCGCATTGCTTGTTTCTGGAAGTCTTTCAGCTTGTGGACGTCGGCCAGGTTGGCCACCCCATGAGCCAACTTGGCGACTCTTGGGAAAGTTCGAGTTTCGACAATACTTATTTCGTTATGCACCGGTTCGATTTTGATTCTGAAAAATTGAAATGAAATACATTTTAAAATTGTTTTTTCCACAAAAACTGTAAATTAAAATGAGCATTCCATACATTTCAAAGCATAAATGAGAGAATTTCTAAAATAGCTACGGTAGAAACCTGCATTCAAAGACCTTAAGGTAATTTATGGTATTGTCAGGAAAATCCAATGGAACAAACCTTTAACATCGCACACCCTCCCCTTTTTTGACACGGAGAAAAAAAAATAATACCTGCACTCTCTCTTTATCTTCGCCTCAATAACCTTACTTTGATTGCGCAAGCGTGAGAGTAAAATGATGCGCAACACACCAAAAACAGAGGTCTATAGAGAGGGGGATGACACCACTTTGAAGACACGGGGAAGATACAGTACCACACGAGCAATAGGTATCGAAAAACTTTTGTTGCGCAACTAAAAATTCTGATGGACCACGCTTTCTCGCTGCTATAGCCCTCAATTACACGAGTATCAAAAACGTATCCAATTAGACAAAAATTTTTGGTCGGAGTCCCCCTTTAATTTGAAACTTCAAAACTGTTCCATTAAAATTTTCCTTCTTATTTTACGGTATTTCACGGTTTTCCCAGTAGACCACGCTTTCTTTTTTTGCTCTTAAAAATAAGTTTTCAGAGGGGGTTTTTCTCAATTTTTCGTATTAATTTGAAAGTTAAGGGGGCCCTTTTATAACAGGTTTTACGATATAAAAAATGTTTTTGCAATTCAAAAATGAATAATCATATTTTTGGAACTTTCAGAGAATCTAATTAAAATGATTGGAAAAGAACTCTTACCTGGTGATGAGCAACACAAGTCCCGACGTCTGATGAGGATCATTTAAAATGAAGTCCCGATATATTCTCCCTCGACGTAGACTGAGGAGTCATCAAGTCTGAAAGTATACGATAATTGTTTGAAAAGTCTACTAAGGTCTGTGGAAATAAACGATTGGGTGTTTTCAAGCGGGAATTGTAAAGAACTACAAAATGTAAAAAATTGCAAAATATATTGTAAACTAGCAAAGTTCGAGAAATTTCAAAATTTTCCAGAAAAATTTTCAACTTGTAACTTAAGACATTTTCAACTAAATTTTCCTGTTTTTTCACATTTTCAGATTTAAAATGAGCCTAAACTTGACCCTTTTTTGTTAACTCTTTTGAGTTTTTGAATTTAAAGGCGCAGGGTCATTTTTGAAAATTTGATAATCTAGCTTTTCACTGAAACATATCGTGAAGCTGATGAAGCTTACCTTTTCATGATGGTCGTCTGTGGCCACCAATAAACCATCACGTATAGTGCAACCGGTTTTGGTCACGACGTTCGCAATCTCCACAACAAAAAGTTCTTTAATTCTTGCGATTCGGAATATGGGCAACGTTTGCCGAGAGAGACGTCAGGCTCTTCTTCATTCTTGTTTTGTTGTTGTTGTGGACTCGAGCGACGGCTGCTCTGAAAATCAACGTAGTGTCGATCAAAATTCAGAAATGTAAAACTCACGTTTTCAGTGCGGTTGGAACACAAAAAGCAGACTTCGCGCTTCCTTTGTGGTCCGGAGTCGCTCGAGAAACATTGTCAGGCATGTGTTGTGTGACGTTGTGGTACCACAATATCCTTGAATCGTAGCCGGAGATGCGTATAATTACGACACTCGGCAAATACTGATCCGCTTGAAAGTCCGAATGCTTCCAAACGCAAACGTCTTGTTGTGAAGTAGCTGAAAATTTCAGATTTAGTTGAATGTCTCAAATCTTTGAAATGTCTCACTTCAAAATTTTCCAGACAAAATTTTCTTTCTGAAAAGACCATTACTCAACAACTTGTAACTTAAGACATTTTCAACTAAATTTTCCTGTTTTTTCACATTTTCAGCTTTAAAATGAGCCTAAACATGACCCTTTTTTTTGTTAACTCTTTTGAGTTTTTGAATTTAAAGGCGCAGGGTCATTTTTGAAAATTTGATAATCTAGCTTTTCACTGAAACATATCGTGTTTAGGCTCATTTTGAAGCTAAAAACGTGATAAACCTAGAAATGTTAAAATAAATCTAGATTATTCAAAACTCACCTCAAAAACTTTGGCTCCAAAGAAATATAGAAATTTCCAGAAAAAATCAAAAAGCTAGAAATTCTGGACCCATACACACTGGGTCTTAGAATAACTAGAAATAATCAGAAAAATAAAACAAGGTCCCAAAAATCAGATAGGGTCCATAAGAAGACTATTAATGATCATGGACAGATCGTGTGTTTTATATACCCCCAAAGGGTGGGCGGAGCTTAAGTTTTGGCCGGATGCCAACACCGGGAGGGGGGGGGCACAAGTCGGCTCCCGACAAAAGAAAAGTGGGCGGAGCTTAGGCAGGTGGTGTCGGGGTACCGCCAAAAGGGGACATAGCTAGACAAACAAAAAAAAAGGATTAGAGGGAGAAGAGACGCAGAGAAACAGACACCTTTTTGACGGAACGCCGACACCGTTCGGTGTTATAAGGGATGACGTTTCAAGATTTGAAATTGTGATTGAGAAAAAAACAGGACCCAGGACCCAGGACCCAGGACCCAGGACCCAGGACCCAGGACCCAGGACCCTCATTAACTTGTCTAAAATTCGATTTTCAGAAATTTTGAAATTTCGAAAAAAAATTTCGAATTCTCTTTTTTTTTCCAATTCCCATACCCATTTATTGTCGGCGTTCCGCCAAAAAGAAAATGTTTATTTTCTTTTTCTCTGCGTCTCTCATCTCTCTTCCTTTATGCGTCATTTATGATCGTTTGGCGGGACACCCGACACCATATGTCTAGCTTTCTCTGTGTCTCTGCGTCTCTCTTCCTCTCGCTAGGCTCCGCCCCCACTTGGTATAAAACACCGCTCCTTCCATTTGTCTTATTAGTTTTCCTATGGACCCTATCTGAATTTTTGGGACCTTTCTTTTTTTATTTTTCTGATTCTGATTATTCCTAGTTATTCTGAGACCCAGTGTGTATGGGTTCAGAATTTCTAGTTTTTTGATTTTTTTTGGAAATTCTATATTTTTTGGATTCGAAGATTTTAAAGGTGAGTGTCATGTTTTTTTTTGTTTCATTTCTGTATAAAAAATTTTCAGAACTTTTGCCGAAAAGGAGTTACGACGAGAAGGAGGAGACGATCCGCAGGAGGATAAGCTAAGGATGGCCGAAGCAGCCGCACTCCAGAAGAGAAAGGAGGACGATACGAGAGAGGCGGAAGCGATCCGGAAGGAAAAGGAGATTCTCGACCGAGCTCAAAACACACAAGATTCAAGAAGAGGAGCCACGGCAACATAGAAGTCGTTCTGTGGATTGGATCATGCTTGCGGGAAGGCTCTTACTTCCAGCTTCTGGAAGAAACAAGACAAAAATGGAGAGGTCTGCGAAGATGGATAACGGCTTCTACTTCAAGTCGATTCGATACTACTTCTGACGATGAGCTCACAATTCGACCGGGCGACAGCTTGTTGATGTCTCCCACAATGGAATGAAGAGGAACAAGGCAAGCTCGACACTCGTTTTGGTCAACTTCTCCAATCATCCTGCAATATTTGCCCACATTGTAAAGTAAGTTTTTCTAGAAGTGATATTCAAATAACTATTTATATCAAATTTTATAGAACTCATATCTTTTCAAACGGGTCCTAATTTTTGCTACAGTAACCCAAATCAATTCAAATCACAATTTTTGATTTTAGAACGCACGCCCCCATTCACCTCCACCTCTGAACCAGAATCCGAGTTACGATCAGCGGCCAGGATTACTGGGACCTCCATCTTATGTAAGTCGTTTACACGCAGGAATATTTCGAAAATCATAGTTTGATTTCAGCAAGAAGTACCACTTCCAGAACCAGTGTATGGCTACCCGATGCAAGCGCCTCAATTCTTTGACCAACCAGCGATGCCGTCGCAGATGTCTTTTGGATATCAGCAGCATCAGCAGCATCAACAGCAACACTATCAGGTTTGTAACATTCGCTTTTATGCTCTATTCAACAATTGATTCTATAAACATTTCTAGGACCCAATTGTAATGGTAGCTCATCCCCTGCCACCGTTGCCACCTGGTTATCAGTGGAGTTATCAGCAGCTACTATCCAATGCCACAGCTCGGACAGATGCCATCTGGATATCAGCAGGTTCAGGTTTGTAGCATTCTTACTTTGGTGCACTGTTCAACAATTGGCGCCTGCGCCTTTAAAGGTGGGGGGACAGGAGATTTTACGGGGGATTTTTGGGGCCAGAGTATGCATTCTACCGTGACGGTGTACAATGATTAATGTCACTCTGCGTACAGCTGTCGTCCTCGCCTTTATGTATGCAATCGGGCGGCCGCTTTCTCTTTGCCCGCGTGGCTCAGTCGGTAGCGGCGCCGCACCCTCAATCATCGCCCTCACAAGTTCAACTCCTCGAGGGACATGTTTAAACGAAATATCGAGAACATTATTTTTTTCATGTCCCCCCACCTTTAAAATTGGGATTACTGTAGATTTTCAAAATTCACCAAAACCTAGGCATGCTTATACTCATTTTGAAGCTCCTAACGTTCTAAATTCAAAAATATGTATTTCAGTCGTTTTGGGTTACTGTAGCAAAAGAAAGGACTCGTTAGAAAATCTGAAAATTTCAAAACTCACCTCATATTGCCTGCGTTAGCTGATTTTGAAGCCTTAAATGGGGTGAATTTGATTTTCCTATTTGTTTATCAAAAATAAATAAACAAAAAAAATTGATTTAGACTAAAGAATTTGCAGTTAGATTCAAAAATGTTATTATTGACCTCGTCTGGTTACTGTCGCTCGAAAATTATTTTTTTTTCAGACACGTCCATATGATCGAGGCCTTGGACTATGATGAGTACAAAAATATGCAAATTCGCACTAAAAATTGGCAAAAACTATATGATTTTTTAGGATTTTTCAATTATTTTTTTTTTGAAAATTCAATTTTTCAAGAAAGTGTTTGAAAATAAATATCTAATTCAAAAATGTTTATGAAACTTCAAAACTTAAAATCTTTAAAAGTCATCCCATATGGTGTTCCAAAAAATCTGAAAATCTGAAATTTTGAAATTCTGAAAATTATTGAAATTTCGTAAATTTGGATGATTTGATAATTTGAAAAGCTCTCAACGTTCCAAAATCAAAATTTGTACTTCGAGTATTTTGGGTTACTGTAGCAAAAGTCAGGACGCGTCTGAAAATCTAAAATTCGCAAAGTTTTCCAAATATTGCCTTGTTTGGGGCTATATTTGGAAGATTTTGAAAATTTCAGATTTTCAAATGGGTCTTAACTTTTGCTACAGTAACCCAAAACACTCAAAATCAAAATTTTCAAATTAGGAACGTTGAGAGCTTAAAAATGAGTATAAACATGCCTCATTTTGGAGAATTTGGGAAATCTACAGTAATCCCAATTTTAAAGGCGCATGGACCCAAGAAATTTTAAAGTGATGCATAAGCAGGCGTATTTAGGCTCATTTCGAAGCTAATAATGAACTGGGTATGAAAATATGCAAATTCGCACTGAAAATTGGCAAAAAAATTATGCTTTTTGTGATTTTTCAAAGAAAAATTTTTTTCGAAAAATTCCATTTTCTCAATTTCAAGAAAGTTTTTGAAAATTATTCTTAATTTTAAAACAAATCTAGAAAATTCAGCCCTTATAACACCAAACGGTGTCGGCGTTCCGCCAAAAGAAGTGATGTCTGTTTTCTCTGCGTCTCTTCTCCCTCTAATCCCTTTTTGTCTGTCTAGACATGTCCCCTTTTGGCGGGACCCCGACACCACCTGCCTAAGCTCCGCCCACTTTTCTTTTGTCGGAAGCCGACGTCCCCTTGGCATCCTGCCAAAACTTAAGCTCCGCCCACGTTTTTGGGGTATGTAACACCGCTCTGTTCATGATCATTAATAGTCTTCCAATGGACCCTATCTGATTTTTGGGACCTGTTTTTTTTATATTTTTCTGATTATTCCTAGATATTTCCATTTCTATTTTAATTTTTCTGAAACTTCTATATTTTTGGATTCAATGTTTTGAGGTGAGAATATCGGCTCTTTTCTAGTTTAGAGGTCCCAAAAAAATTTAGAGGTCCGAAAAAAAATTAGAGGTCCCAAAATAAAATAGAGGTCCCAAAAAAAATTAGAGGTCCCAAAAAAGTTTAGAGGTCCCAAGAAAAAAATAGATACGAAAAACGCGCAGAAAATACGAAAACCGCGCAGATGTTGGAATAATGTACTAGTATTTGAACTGTGCGAGTAGTTTGAGTTTTAAGGTCTTATAGGATGACATGACTACTCCTAACAATTTTAGCTCCAATTCTCTCGCATCTTGCCGATGAACCCAATTTACATATGAGGAAAATTTGGGCAATACAGTAATCACTCCGTGATTATGCTGTTTCTCAGGCTTAGATAATTGTCAGAAAATATGCATTCCTAAGCCTATTAGAAGTATAAAATATATCATCAACAATTATTTTGCTATAAGACCTCAAAACTTTAAATTCTTACACAATTCAAATTTTAATACATTATTTCGGTATCTGTGCATTTTTAAGTTTTGGACCACTATTTTTTCTTGGGACCACTAAACTTTTTTGGGACCTCTATTCTTTTTTGGGACCTCTAAACTAGAAAAGAGCCAGAATATCTGTGATTCATTCTAGTATTTTCAAGTTCTCTACGTTCTCAGCTTCAAAATGAGCCTAAACATGGCATTTTTCAGTGGAAATCAAAATTTTTAAAATTTCAAAAACGGCCATGCGCCTTTAAACGCGGAAATTCAAAGTTAACAGAAATGGGTCGTGTTTAATCTTATTTTAAAGCTGAAAATGTGACAAAACCGAAAAATATAGTTAAAATGTTCTAAATCGCTAGTTTTTGAATAATATACAAATTTCTGAAAAAAAAAACACCTTTTTTAGAAAAGTTTGGGATTTCTCGAACTTTGCAAGTTTACAATATTGTATGCAATCTTTCACATTTTCAAATTGGACTCATTTTCAGCTTTAAAATGAGTTTAAACATGGCATTTTTCAGTGAAAGCCAAAGTTTCTAAAAATTTCAAAATTGCCATGGGCCTTTAAATTCAAAAATTCAAAGTTAACAGAAATGAGTGGTCTTTAGGCTAGTATGTTCTAGTACTTTGTTCGATCATATATCGGTTCCTGATTTTGAAATTTGAAAGAATTTCAGAATTTCGAAAATTCAAAAATTCGAAAATGTTAAATTTAGAAAATCCTTAATTTCTGAATTCAGAAGTTTGGAAATTCAAAATTTCCAGAATTACAGATATTTTATATTCCGGATTTTTGAAAATGTAAAATTTTAACAATCTGGAAATCCAAAAATTTGAGTATCCTAAAAATCCAAAATTTAAAAAAAAATCTAGATTTTGAAAATATGAAGTTTCTAAAGTCTTAGAATCGAAATTTTTGAAAATCCCGATGTTTTGAATCCTGTATTTTTGAAATGCTGGAATTCGGGATTCCAGAATTTTGGAATTCCAGATTTTCGAAATTTTGGATTTTCAGAATTTCAGATTACCAAAAATCGAGATCCCGGTATTTCAGATTTTTGAAATTACAGTTTTTCAGAGCGCGCACACACACACACACACACACACACACACACACACACACAGAATTTGGTGATTGTTAATGGTAAAGATTTAAGGTGTGACAGTACTCGCGTCCAAATGTTTCAAGAGTGCCCACCGAAATGCCGAAAAGGATGCAAAAACCAGCTATCCAGAGTTCAGTTCCATTCTTCATTGCGGAGGCCGAATTTGAAGAAGGAAGACACACACGAATCGTGTACTATGCTGGAGAGATAATATCTGAAGAGTAGTTTTTTGTTAATTTATTTTATTCTAATAAATATATTTTATGAAATTTCTTCTTGAAAAGTCTTTGTAGATACGATAGGACCTAAAAGAGCCAGACAGATTTTGCTTTTTTTCATATTAAGCTCATTTTTAGCTTCAAAATAAGCCTAAAAACGGCAATATTTGGAAACTTTTGAAAAGGTTCACAACTTTTGCTACAGTAACCCAAAACACTTGAAACAACAATTTCTGGTTTTAGAACATTGAGAGCTTCAAAATGAGCCTAAACACGCCCCTATCTGCTTCACTTCTAAATTTCATGGGTCCTTGCGCCTTTAAAATTGGGATTACTGTAGATTTTCAAAATTCTCCAAAACTAGGCATGCTTATACTCGTTTTAAAGCTCTCAACGTTTCATGTTCAAAAATTACAATTTCAAGCGGCTTGGGTTACTGTAGCAAAAGTAAGGACCAATTCGAAAATCTGAAATTTTCGAAATTTCCGAATATTGGCTTTTAATTTTTGCTACAGTAACTCAAAACACTTGAAACAACAATTTCTGGTTGTAGAACATTAAGAGCTTCAAAATGAGCCTTAACACGCCTAATTTTGCTCTTTTTTATAATTTCATGGGTCCCTGCGCCTTTAAAATTGGGATCACGGTAGATTTCCGAAAATCTCCAAACATAGGCTTGTTTATACTCATTTTGAAGCTCTCAACGTTCTGAAATCAAAAATCGTAGTCGGGTGTTTTGGGTTACTGTTGAAAAAATTAGGAACCGTTCAAAATTTCGATTTTTCAGATTTTCAAAGATTTTCGAATTTTTTGGAATATTGCGTTTTTTTTTCCATTTCCCATACATCATTATTGTCGGCATTCCGCCAAAAAAAAAATTGTTTATACTCTTTTCCTCTCTCCCTTTCCGCGTCATTTGTCCCTTTGGCGGGACACCGACACCATCAGTCTACCCTCTCTAAGCTCCGCCCACTTGGGATATAACATCGCTCTATCTATGCTTATTATTAGTCTCCACATGGACCCTAACTGGTTTTTGGGACCTTTTTTTTTATTTTTCTGATTATTCCTAGTTATTCTGAGAGCCAGTGTGTATGGGTCCAGAATTTCTAGACTTTTGATTTTTTCTGAAAATTCTATATTTTTTGGATCCAAAAAGTTATTGAGGTGAGTTCGATTTTCATGGATTTCAAATCTAAAATTAGCCAATTTGGGTCAAAAATCGTCATATTTAGTTCCTAACTTTTGCTACAGTAACCCAAAACACTCAACGTTGAGGGCTTTAAAACGAGCATAAACATGCCTAGTTTTTAAGAATTTTGAGAATCTACAGTAATTTTAAAAACGCACGAAGCCATGAAATTCAGAAGTGAAGCGAATAGGGGCATGTTTAGGCTCATTTTGAAGCTCTAAACGTTCTAAGATGAAAAATCGTTAGTTTAAATGATTCGGGTTACTGTAGCGAAAACCACAAGCCGATAATTGAAATATTTCTAAATTCTCAGATTTTTAAAGTCCTAACTTTTTCTACAGTAACCCAAAGCAGTTGAAATTGCAATTTCTAAATTTGAAATGTTGAGAGCTTCAAAATGAGTATAAACATGCCTAGTTTTGGATTTTTGAAAATTTACAGTAATCCCAAATTTTAAAGGCGCAGGGACCCATGAAATTTCAAAGTGAAGCGAATAGGGGCGTGTTTGGGCTCATTTTGAAGTTGAAAATGAGCTGAGTATAAAAATACGCAAAATATTCAAATTTGAATCAAAAGTTATGGGATTTTTTTAGTTCGAAATTTTTAATTTTGATGAGCTTAAAATTTTCGAGAATCTTGAACTAGAATAGATCCATTAATTTTCCAGAAGGACTTCTTCCCATCACTGGCTTCGAAAATAGCCAGGTGGCTGCTTCTCACAGAGGGCCCCTATACTACGGGGGCCCTTTTATTACAGGGGGCCCTTCTATTTTTTCCGAGCCCCTCTCGAAGGGCTTTCTATTGAAGGGGCCCTTCTAATACAGGTTTTTCGGTATCTTATTGAGTTTGGTACTGTATTTATTTGGTACTGTATTTTCAAATCGCATTGAGTGAGGAGATCGACGACAACATTTGAAAGGAGAGTGGGTCCCACAGGGATTTTGGAAATTAAAAAATTGTTATTCAATATATTATATATCGGAAAAATAAATAATTCAAAATAAAGTATCAAAATTAACAAAAAAAAAAAATAAATGAGAAAAATGAAATTTCAGCAAAATGGGTGGTGTTCAGGCTGATTTTGAAGCTGAATCCAAGCTGAATGCAACTAAAGTAACCAATTTCGATAAAAATCCTGAAAACAAAAGTTACGGTCAAAAAACATCTGAAAAACATTTTTCCAGAATCTCCTTCCGGCTTCCTATGGATCTGGGTATCCATTTTCTGGAAATTTCCGCCGACAAAGATTCTCAAACTCTAAAAATCAATAAAAAAAATCAATAAAAATTTTGAATGGCTAGAGCGCAGAGAAGCGATACACACTGCGTCTCTGACCTCAAAAAATCAACTTGGAGCGAAATAGGTTGTGTTTAGGCTCGTTTTAAAGCTCTCAACGTGAGAAATTTAAAAATGTAATTATCAGTCAAAAATATTGTGAATAGACAATGTTAGTGAAAATTTTTTAAAAAATTTCAAAAAAATAACTTTTTTTCCAGAATTTTCACCATTACTCAAAAACTCGGAATTTTTGACATTTTTAAATTTGTTTTTCTGCTTTTTCACATTCTCAGCTTTAAAATGAGCCTAAACATGACCCATTTCTGTTAACTTTGAAATTTTGAGTTTAAAGGCGCATGGTCATTTTTGAAATTTCGAAAAATGAGATTTCAGCAAAATGGGTCGTGTTTAGGCTGATTTCGAAGCTAAAAATAAGCTGAAATCAAATATCTTCATCAATTCTGATAAAAACTTCAAAAACAAAAGTTATGGCTAAAAATATTTTTTCAAAAACATTTTTCCAGAATCTCCTTCCGGCTTCCTATGGATCTGGGTATCCATTTTCTGGAAATTTCCGCCGACAAAGATTCTCAAACTCTAAAAATCAATAATTCGGAGCCAATCCTCTATGAACGGTTTTCCTACGGTAGCTACTGGTACAGCGGCTCCAAATCTCACACAATTTTCGGAAAACCTCCATTTTTGGCATTTTCGGAAGATTTGGAGTATTTGATTCAGAATCAGAAGACGTCAATTATTCAAATTCTAAAAATCGATTGGAAGGCTCCAGGGACCAAGGAGACCCCATTGAAATACGAATTCTCGGAATGGAAAAAATCGATAAATCGATTTTTTGACGAATTTGAGAGAATTCTGAAATCCAGGGACCCTCAAAAATTGCTAAAGGTTCGGGAACTACAAATTTGCACCAGTGATGAAGAGCAAGTTCTGAAAATCCTGAAATTCGTGGACCCCAACTTCCTGAAGACGTTGAAAATTCTGAATCCTTGGAATCTAGAATTACAAAAATCGATAAAAATCGAGGAGATTCCGAAAACTGAGCAATGGAAGAATTTGGAAGATGTCGATATCAGATTATCGATTGATTCCAAAAATTTGGATCCGTTTTTGGGATTTTTGAATGTCACCATTGTGATGGAGAAGTGGGATTTCGAGGGATGCGAACAGTTTTTGGAGGTATTTTTTTTCGAAAATTTCAGATTTTAAAACGGGTCCTAACTTTTTCTACAGTAACCCAAGACACCTGAAATATGCATTTTTGAATTTAGAATGCTCAGTGCTTGAAAATGAGCCCAAACACGGCAAACTTTGAAAACTTTGAAAATTTACAAGGTTTTTCGGTATCTTATTGAGTTTGGTACTGTATTTATTTGGTACTGTATTTTAGAATCGCATTGAGTGAGGAGATTGACGACAACATTTGAAAGGAGAGTGGGTCCCACAGGGATTTTGGAAATTAAAAAATTGTTATTCAATATATTATATATCGGAAAAATGAATAATTCAAAATAAAGTATCAAAATTAAAAAAAAAAAAAATGAGAAAAATCCAAAAATATGGAAAAAAATCACTTTTTCAAAGTCACAAAATTGTCCAAAACCAGGAAATAACGTTTTTCCGAATCCGGGAATTCAAATGTTTCGGCTTGCTCGTATTCTGGATGATTTTTCAATTGGCCAATCATCAAATTTCTTGATTTCTCGTTCCGAATTAAAAATTGCAGATTTTTGGGTTTTCCAGGTTGTGGGAATTTCTGCAAAAAAACCTTTTTTTGAACATTTGATACATTTTGTTTTGTAAAATTATTCAAAAAATGATTTTAACTTTGCAAATTTTCAGTTCAAATTCAAAAAAAGCTCGATTTTAGCTTCAAAATGAGCCCAAACACGCCCCTATTCGGATCATTCTGAAGTTTCATAGTCTGAACATGATGGACCATAACTCGAAGTACAGTAACCCAATCTTTTTGAAACTATTATTTTTGAATTTGTGTGTTTGAGAGCTTCAAAATGAGCCCAAACACGCCTATTTCCTCTTCACTTTGAAATTTCATGGGTCCCTGCGCCTTTAAACTTGGGATTACTGTAGATTTTCAAAACTTTCCAAACCTAGGCATGTTTATACTCATTTTGAAGCTCTCAACGTTTTAAAATCATAAACTGTTGTTTTAAGAAGTTTGGGTTACTGTATCCCAAGTTATGAACAAATTACAAATTTGGAATTTTCAAAGTTTTCCAAATATTGACCTGTAATTTTTGTTACAGTAACCCAAAACACTCGAAACTACATTTTTTGGTTTTAGAACGTCAAAACCTTTAAAATAAGCTCAAATTTCATGGGTCCCTGTGCCTTGAAAATTGGGATACTGTAGATTTTCAAAATTCTCGAAAACTAGGCTTGTTCATACTCATTTTGAAGTTCTCAATGTGCTCAATTCAAAACTTGTGATATCCATTGATTTGGGTTACTGTAGCGAAAGTTATGGCTCGTTTAAAAACATGAAATGTTCGAACATTTTCAATTATTGGCTTGTGGTGTTTGCTATTGTAGCCCTGAACACCCCAATTATTGAAATGTGATTTTAGAACATTTAGAGCTTCAAAATGAGCCCAAACACGCCTAGTTTCGCTCAACTTCAACCTTTCATGGGGTCCTGCGCCTTTAAAATAGGGATTACTGTAGATTTTGGAAATTCTCCAAAACTAGGCATGTTTATACTCATTTTAAAGCTCTCAACGTTCTAAAACAAAAAACTATAATTTTGAGTGTTTTGGGTTACTGTAGCAAAAGAAAGGACCCGTTTGAAAATCTGTAAATTTTCAAAGTTTTCAAAGTTTGCCGTGTTTGGGCTCATTTTCAAGCACTGAGCATTCTAAATTCAAAAATGCATATTTCAGGTGTCTTGGGTTACTGTAGAAAAAGTTAGGACCCGTTTTAAAATCTGAAATTTTCGAAAAAAAATACCTCCAAAAACTGTTCGCATCCCTCGAAATCCCACTTCTCCATCACAATGGTGAAAACCGTTCATAGAGGATTGGCTCCGAATTATTGATTTTTAGAGTTTGAGAATCTTTGTCGGCGGAAATTTCCAGAAAATGTATACCGAGATCCGTAGGAATCCGAAGAGAGATTCTGAAAAAAACTCTTTGAAAAAATATTTTTAGCCATAACTTTTGTTTTTGAAGTTTTTATCAGAATTGATGAAGATATTTGATTTCAGCTTATTTTTAGCTTCGAAATCAGTCTAAACACGACCCATTTTGCTGAAATTTCATTTTTCGAAATTTCAAAAATGACCATGCGCCTTTAAATTCAAAATTTCAAAGTTAACAGAAATGGGTCATGTTTAGGCTCATTTTAAAGCTAAAAATGTGAAAAAGCAGAAAAACATAATTAAAAATGTCAAAATTCCGAGTTTTTGAGTAATGGTGAAAATTCTGGAAAAAAAGTTATTTTTTTGAAATTTTTTAAAAAATTTTCACTAACATTGTCTATTCACAATATTTTTGACTGATAATTACATTTTCAAATTTCTCACGTTGAGAGCTTTAAAACGAGCCTAAACACAACCTATTTCGCTCCAAGTTGATTTTTTGAGGTCAGAGACGCAGTGTGTATCGCTTCTCTGCGCTCTAGCCATTCAAAATTTTAAAATCATGATAAATGCGTCGTGTTTAGGCTTGTTTCAAAGCTGAAAATGTGAGAAACTTGAAAAAATTGATTTTATTTAAAAATTCCAAAAAATAACAGAGTTATGAGAATAATTCCAAAATTTCGAAATTTTCAAAAATCATACTTTTTCAAAAATATGACGTGTTAAATCTCGTTTTGACGCTAAAAACATGAACAATTGCATTTTCAGCTTTAAAATGAGCCCAAACTTGCCTATAATCGCTCAACTTTGATTTTTGGGGTCAGTGACGCAGTGTGTCTCGTTTCTCTGCGTCTCTAGCCATGGAAAACTTCAAAATGGACCGAAGTAGGTCGTGTTTGAGCTCATATTGAAGCTCTTCATGTCATAAACTTAAAAATATAAAAAATTACAAAAAATAAAAAAAAAACTGACAACGTTGGAGAAATTTCAAAAATTTCAAAAAAATGTTTTCAGAAATTCGGTCATTTCTCGAAAACTTCCGGTTTTTGACATTTTAAACTATATTCTGCTGTTTTTCCACATTTTCAGCTTTCGAATGAGTATAAACACGACCTATTTCTGTTAACTCTGAATTTTTGAATTTAAAGGCGCATGGTCATTTTTGAAAATTTGAAAACTTCGATTTTCACTGAACTATGTCATGTTTAGGCTCATTTTGAAGCTCTCGACGTAAGAAACTCAAAAATAAGAAAATCAGTCAAAAAATTAGAAAACTCAAAAAGTTATAGCATTTTAAAATTTTCGAATTTTCAAAAAACTGGCATATTTGTGATAAACATGCCATTATGTGTCGTTAAAGTTAATGAAATTTATAATTCCCAGATTGACGAATTTGTCTTTTTTTTCAAATTTTCAGAATGAGTAGGCGCCAAAGGCCAATAGTTAATAGCGGGGTTCAAGAAACTACCGTATTCCAGAAATCCGAAAATTTTGAAATTGCGAAACATCAAAATTGAGCAAGATAGGTCATGTTTAGGGTCATTTTGAAGCTGAAATTGTGAAAAACTCAAAAATTCAAATTTCAGTCAAAAATTCCGAGAAATAAAATAGTTATGAGAAAATTTCCAAAAATTCAAAATTTTCAAAATTTTCAAAAATTCAATTTTTTTAGAATATGGCATATTTAGGCTCATTTTAAAGCTGAAAATCTGAAAAATTTTAATTTCAGCTTTAAAATAAGCCTAAACACAACCCAAGGCGCATAATTTTGAATTTTCGGGTCAGAGACGCAGTGTGTCTCGTTTCTCTGCGTCTCTAGCCATGGAAAACTTCAAAATTGTACTAAGTATGTCGTGTTTGGGCTTATTTTGAAGCTGAACATGTAAGAATGTCAGGAATATAATGTTCAATCCAAAATTCCGAAAAAAACAGAGTTATTGGAAAAAGTTCCAAAAATCGAATTTTCAAAATTTTCAAAAAAAAAAAAATTTTTTTTTCAAAAGTATATCATGTTTAGGCTCATTTCGAAGCTCCAAACGAGTAGAATTCAAAAATCCTAAACAATTTTCCTAAAAACTCACTTATCAAAAAATTCGGAGGGTGGAACCTCCTTTGGAGGTCTCTTGAACACTTGAACGATTCCAGGGACGATTTGATTCTAAAAATTTGGAAGAATTTTTTTGAAAATTAAGCTGAGCAATGTGCTGAAAGACTTACATTCTGATAACAGCAAAATATCCTTCGAGCGTTTTCCACTATATTGGGGAAAATTGAAGGTTTTCCCGATTTTTCGATTTTTTCCATTTTTTCGTATAGTTGAAAAAATCAGGAATTTCGAGAAGTAGAATGAACATTTTTATGTCATATGAAAAATAGAAAAATGAGCAATTGTTGGTGTTAAAAGCAGAAATTACGGGGTGTATGAAATGGAGACAAAAAGGGTGCACATGTGATTTGATCATGCTTTTTGAGGATTAGGAGATCAGAATGTTTGGAGGGCTGTAACTCGGCTGGAATGGATTTTTTAAGGGCTGAAAATTATATTTTTAGATTTGCCATGAAATGAGCTTCAAAATGAGCCTAAACATGATATGTTTTGGGGAAGTTTGAAAATTTCGAATTTTGAAAATTTTCCAAAAATTCAAATTTTTGAATTTTTCGAAGATGAGGGGATTAGTTTTCAATTGATAAGAAACATAGACAACTATAAGAAACAAGTTAAAAATTAGCTTCTTATGAAAAAAGGGAACTACAATAAACTTTTCCAAAAAAAAATTTTTTTGAAAACTTATTTTTATGGAGGTTCCCCCATAACTCGAAAACTAACGATTTCTCTTGTTTCTAAATTTTTGCAATGTTTTTCTCATGTTTTTTGCTTCAAAATGAGCCTAAACACGACCTATTTAGCTCTAAATCGATTTTTGGGTCAGAGACGTAGTGTCTCTCGTTTCTCTGCGCTCTAGCCATGGAAAATTTCAAACGTCGCGCGAAATATGTCGTGTTTAGGCTTATTTTGAAGCTGAAAACGTCAGAAACGTAAAAATGTGAAAGTTAGCCAGAAATATTGGAAACAGACAAAGTTAGAGTAATTTCAAAATTTTCGAAAAATTTTTTTTTCAGAATTTTGATCATAACTCAAAAACTTAAAAATTTTGACAATTATTTTTATATTTTCTGGCTTTGTTACGTTTTCAGCTTCAAAATGAGCGTAAACACGACCTGTGTCTGTTAATTTTGAATTTTTGAATTTAAAGGCGCAAGGCCGATTTTGAAAATTAGAAATTTTCGATTTCACCAAAGTATATCGTGTTTAGGCTCATTTTGAAGCTAAAACCATTTGAAAATTAGAAAATTAGATGAATGTTAATGAAATATGCTCGTTTTTGAGTTATGGACCATAACATATGGTCCAAATTCCAAAAAAAAGCGTTTTTTTCAGAAATTCTTCAAAAATCCCGAATTTCAAAATTTCAAAATTTTGAAATTCGATGCCTCAACCCAAATGCTCAAAATGCTATCATTCAAAATTGGAAGGCAAGTCCGGATGGTCCAAATTTGATTTCCGAATTTCAGGATATCAAAAAATTCCGGAATTTCCAAAATTCTGAAGAAATCAGAATCCGAAAGTCGGATTCTGAAGTTTTGATAATTTTTGAAAAAACGTTGATTTTTTGTAATTTCTAAATGAAGTTTTATGATTCTTTTGAAAGAAGTTTCGAATTTTCGATTTTTTGAATTTTTGAATTATTGTACCTTTCTGATTTTCCCCATTTTCTTCTCCTACATTCTGTCCCTTTTCGCTCACATTGCTCAGATTTGTCCATTTTCTAATTATATATTTTTGCATCTGCCTGTCCCCACCCGCATTTTTAATCCTCTTATTATGAACCCCTCCAGGTGAGTCTCGAAGGGACCATTTCATTTTCTCTGCGTCTCTCTCATTTTCCTTTACTCTCTCTCTCTCTCTCTCTCTCTCTCTCTCTCTCTCTCTTTCTTCCGAGCCTTCTCGAAGCTTCTTAAGGTTAGGCTCCGCCCCTTTTTCTGAGCACTCATTTGCACATTTTTCATTATTCTAATTTTCATGGATTTCGGACCATTTTTGTGAATTTTTGGGTCGTAGTATCATTTTTTAGTTGAAAACAAGATTTTACAGGTTTTCACCTTTAAAATGATCCCAAAAACATCTATTTTCAAAAATTTTAGATTTTTCGAATTTTCGAAAATTTCGATTTTTTTGGAAATTTTCCCATAACTCTTTTTTTTTGACTTTCTCACATTTTCAGCTTTAAAATAAGCCCAAACACGACATACTTAGTACAATTTTGAAGTTTTCCATGGCTAGAGACGCAGAGAAACGAGACACACTGCGTCTCTGATGAGCCTAAATATGCCATATTTCAGAAAAATTGAATTTTGGAAAATTTTACAAATTTTGAATTTTTTATGGATTTCCGACTATTTTTTTTTGTGAATTTCGCTGAAATTTTGACTTTTCACATGATTTTTGCTCATTTTGAAGATTTTGAGCTTTTTTTCACGATTTTCGAATATTTTTTTCCCGTTTTCCCAGAATGTCAAAAAGCCCCAATCCTTATGGAACACCCGAATTGACTGGACTACCCCAAAATGCAATAAAATGCCTAGTAAAACATTTGGATTATTTGGAGCAGTGAGTTTCCTAAAATTTTATAACCTAAAGATTTGAATTTGGCGCTTCGAGAGCTTCAAAATGCGCCCAAACAAGCCATTATTCGGAAAATGTTGAAATTTCCCCATTTTTTAAACGGGTCGTAACTTTTTCTACAGTACTCCAAACTTTTTGAAATGTCTATTTTTGAATTTAAAACGTTGAGAGCTTCAAAATGAGTATAAACATGCCTAGTTTTAGAGAAATTTGAAAATCTACAGTAATCCCAAGGGCATGGGCTTATGAAATTTCAAAGTGGAGCAAAATAGGCGAGTTTGAGCTTGTTTCAAAGCTCCAAACGTGCCACAAAATTCTGAAAACGCCAAAACTCTAACTTGGGGCATTAGAGCTTCAAAATGACCCAAAACACGTCTAAGTTTCATAAAATTTGAAAATATTCGATTTTCATTTGGTCCATAACTCTGAGTACAGTAACCCAATTTTTTTGAAACTATCATTTTTTGATTTCGATTATCGAGAGCTTCAAAATGAGCTCAAACACGCCTATATTTGCTCCACTTTGAAATTTAATAGGTCCCTGCGCCTTTAAAATTGGGATTACTGTAGATTTTCAAAATTGTCCAAACCTAAGCGTGTTTATACTCATTTTAAAGCTCTTAACGCGAGAAATCAAAAAATCGTAGTTTCAAGTGGTTTGTGTTACTGTAGAAAGAGTTAGGACCTGTTAAAAATTGGGAAATTTTCGAACATTGGCTTGTTTAGGCTCATTTTGAAGCTCTAAAAGCGGCTAATTCATTCGGGAATTCCAATTTATAGATGAATTGAAACTTTTTTTGAAGCTAAAAAGATACAAATTTCAGATTCCGTTTGCTGAGAACACACCAAAATCAAAATATACCGCTTGTAGAGCTTCGAAATGAGTCTGAACATGATGGGCCATAACTCGAAGTACAGTAACCCAATCTTTTTGAAACTATTATTTTTGAATTTGTATGTTTGAGAGCTGCAAAATGAGCCCAAACACGCCTATTTCCTATTCATTTTGAAATTTCATGGGTCCCTGCGCCTTTAAACTTGGGATTACTGTAGATTTTCAAAATTTTCCGAAAATAGGCGTGTTTATACTCATTTTGAAGCAATAAACGCGGAAAATTCAAAAATCGTAGTTTCAAGTGGTTTGGGTTACTGTAGAAAGAGTTAGGACCTGTTAAAAATTAGGAAATTTTCGAACTTTGGCTTATTTAGGCTCATTTTGAAGCTCTAGACGCGGCAAAAAAGGGAGAATTAATTCCAAAAGCTAAAAAAAAAACAAAATTTCAGATTCCGTTTGCTGAGAACGTGTCGACATCTTAATGAGAATCTCCCTATCAAAATTCCAGTGATAATAATCATATTTTCCGGGAAAAATGTGCAAGTTTATCTCCAAAAAGAGCTGAAAATTCCTCCAGAATACACAAAAATCGAGTACGATACGTGTCACGATGTATACGGTACCTACATAGGCTGCAAAATTTGGGAATCTCGAAACTTCCAAAGACAAGGGCGCGGCAATCCCGGATTTTATGCTGCCAGATTTTTGAGACGACTGTTTTCCCGGAAATTTCTGGAAATTTCTGGAATTTGTGTGGATTTTTCGGCTTCTGAAAATCATTCTGAAAATAAAATTTCAGAATTTTTTGAAATTCTGAAATCCCGGATTTCTGAATTCCCTGTGAAAACCCTCTGTGTTTCGGAAATTCGAAAAATTTGATTTTCAATTTTTTCGAGATTTTTCAAATTTCCGAATTCTCGTCGAATAATGAAAAATCTGGAATTGAGGATCTGGAAATTCTAGCAAAATTGAATTCCTGGAAATTTCTGGAAGTTTTGAATTTTGAAAAATTAGCAATTGTCCCAAAATATGAGTCCAATTTCGCCCACTTGAAATCAATTACCCTCACTGTTGTACTACTTAACGTACCGGATTTGATCGAAATTAAAGAGGTGAGCAATTTTTTACTTAAAAAATTTGAATTTGGCGCGTTTAGTGCTTTAAAATGAGCCTAAACAAGCCAAAAAGCCAAACTTTTGAAGTCTCCGTTTTTTGACGGGTCCTAACTTTTCGTACAGTAACCCAAATGCCTCGAAACAGTGATTTTTGAACTTGGCGCATTAAGAGCTTTCAAATGAGTATAAACATGCCTAGATTTGGAGAATTTCCAAAATCTACAGTAATCCCAATTTTAAAGGCGCAGGGACCTATTAAATTTCAAAGTGGAGCAAAAACAGGCGTGTTTGTGCTCATTTTGAATCTCTCAATGCTCCAAATTGAAAATTTTTAAGTTTCCAGTGGGATGGCATACTGTACTTTCAGTTACGAACTGATTTCAGATTTTTTGAGTAATTTCAAGCTTTTCTTAGGGTACTAATTTTTGCCACAGTAACCCAAACTCTTTAAAATTATAATGTTCCTTTTTTTGCGTCAAGAGCTTAAAAATGAATATAAACATGTCTAGCTTCAAAGGATTTCAGAAATCTACAGTAATCCCAAATTTAAAGGCGCATGGACCCTTGAAATTTGACAATGAGCCGAATAGGGGCGTGTTTGGGCTCATTTTGAAGCTCACAACAAGCTGAGTACAGCAATGCGCAAATTTATAAATCCAGACTAAAATCGACAAAATTAGGATCTTTTCAAAAAAAATTTTTTTTTGAAAAAATTTAAAAATCACAAAATCATTCTCCCATTAAATGATGATATTTCTGGACCTAGTTGTTCATGATTTGTAGATTTTGAGCTTCAAATAAGCACAAACACGCCCATACTTGCGCCATTTCCAAACTTCAAGGATCCCTGCGCCTATAAAATTAGGATTACTGGAGAATTTAAAAATTTTCCAAATCTAGGCATATTTATACTCATTTTGAAGCTCTCAACGTTTGAAATTCTAAATTTGATGTTTCAACTGTTTAGGGTTACTCTACTTCGAGTTATGGACCAAACAAAAAAAATTACAATTTCGAAAGTTTTCCAAATCTAGGCATGTTTAGGCTCATTTTTAAGCTCTAGAAGTGTCAAATTCAAATTTTAAGTTGAAAATTAAATTTCAGGCATTCATGACATCGAAAATCCTGCAACTCTACTTGGTATACTGTAATGGGTTATCTTCAGCAATGCTGATAGAAGCATTTGGATTTGGAATCGAAAATTCTGGAATGACAATCACTTGGGCGTTTCCGATAATTGATACTCCTCAAATTTTATTTATTGAATATTTTATTAAATCTGAATTCCAAAAAAAGTCACATGTGGATTTCAGACGGATAGGCTGAAAATATTTTTTAAAACTTTCTTTTTTTAATCGTGATTTTTCTGTAAATTGTGAATCAATTTTCAATAAATTTTTAATGAAAATCGGGAATTCAAAAAAAGTTTTTTATGCAAAAAAAAAATTTTTATGGTACCGTACCCTAACTACGGGCCATTAAAAAAAATGGTCCGAAAATCAAATTTCCACAAAGTTTTTCATGTTCTAGGCTTCAAAATAAGCCTAAACATGACCACTTTCTGACAATTTTGAATTTTCGAGCTTAAAGGCGCATGGACCCTTGAAAAATGGACCCCTGAAGAAAACTTTCAATTTTCACCAAAAGTGGTCGTGTTTAGGCTCATTTTGAAGCTCAAAACTTGAAAAACCCGAAATTTTTATTTTCTAGATTTTTTATGGTACCGTACCCTAAGTACGGACCATTTTCAAAAAATGGTCCGAAAATCAAAGTTCCACAAAGTACAGCTTGTTTATACTCATTTCAAAGCTCTCGATGCCCCAAATTCGAAAAATCAAGTTTCAAAAAAATTTATTCATGAGAAAGCGTAAAATTCAAGAAAAATCCAGTAAAAAACCATAGCTCCAAGAATCGGGAAAAGAAGAAAAATGAGAATTTTCGAGGTTTCAGAATCCCTGACGTCGTCTAAATCGTCTTCTGGATCGCTTTCGAGTTCGGAATCTTCTGGAGAGTCTTCTGAATCACTTCCAACGTCTTCTGAATTTTTAGCGGGGACTTCAGAATTTTCAAACATGAGTTTTGAATAAAATTTGATTTCTTCTTCTAAATTCGGAAAATTCACAGAATTCTCCAAAAATTCTGGAACTTTCTTCACCAATTTTTTTCCTTTTTTCATTTCATTTTTTTGCATTTTTCAATCCAAAATTGCTCATTTGCTCCATCAATTTCTCCACTGAAACTGGTCCAAAACCCCACTTTTTTTGGAATTTTTCGGATTTTTTTGATTTTTCGAATTTTGCCTCTTTCTGTTCTCATCGGCTCGAAATTTGGAGCGGAGCACAATTTCAGTGTTCTCTTGATCATAATTGCTGATAAAATCCGTCCAAAATGGTTTTTGATAGTACCAATACTCGAATGGGTCTCCACAATCTTTACAGTAGTTTCCCAGACTGCACGGGAGATCCTGAAAATTTTGAGGTTGAAAATTGAATTTAGAAAATTGCGAGCTGCAAAATGAGCCCAAACATGACCAGTTTTGCAAAAAAAAAATTTTTTTTAAACATTATTTTGGAAATTACGGATTCTACCGTATCTCGGTTCATTTTACAGTAATCCGACAAACTTTTATAGTTTTGAGTTTTGCTCGTTTCGTGCTTTCAAATGAGTATAAACACGACTATATTCGGACAATTTTTAGAAGTTTCGAAACTCTTCGGGACCATGCGCCTTTAAACTCGAAATTTCAAACTTGAGCAAAACTAGTAGTGTTTGGGCTCATTTTTTTGAAACTCTCGTTGAGCCAAACACAATGCTCACCGTGAAAATTTTGAGAGCCTGTTCATTTTTCGCCTTCATCTGTAGATTTTGCTCAATTCCGAAATATCAAGTTTAAAGGCGCATGGTCCCAAAAAATTTCGAAAATTTCTCCAAAACTAGCCGTGTTTGGGCTCATTCTGAAGCTCTTTTTCTGCCAAAATTGAAAATTCAAATTTTACCTCAATACAGTAATCCCATGAGCTCCTTTAATCATTTCCAATTTCAGGAATTTTTCGACTCCTGTGTAGATCACAATCAGACATCGGTCCTCTTTGTATCCAAATCTGACACGTGGCAATTCGAAATTTGTGGAATTCACAATTGAACGATCCGAATGCGATGTTGATCTCATTGCATGTCTGAAAATTTCAGATTTTTGAAATTTTTGAATTTGACTATGAGAATTTCAGATTCGTGGAAATTTCCGATTTTCAAAAATTTCCCAAAAATTTTCTAAATTTGAACAATCAAAATATCTGAAAACTTAAAATCAATTTTCCATAATTCTGAAAATCTGAAATTTGGAAATTTATGGAATTTTCAGATTTTCGAAATTTTTCCAAAATCCATAATTTCAGAAAACTGCTCATGAAATCACGTTTTTCACGTTTTTTAAAAAAATTTTTGAGTTTTTTTTAAAGTTCGAATTTTTTTGAGCTGGATTTTGTGCTAGAAAAAAGTGCCAGCATAATTAAATTATTCAATTTTTTTCGAATTTTCGAAAATCCGAAATTCATTGAAAATGGTAGGAAACTTTATTTTTTCAGAATTTTCCGTTTTTCTAGATGAAAACGATGCGAAATTTTGAGTTTCATTGATATTTTCAGCTTAAGAAATTTGAAATGAGCCTAAACATGACCTATTTCGCTTAATTTTGAAATTTCCAGTTTAAAGGCGGCATGACCCGTAAAAAAACTGCAAATTTCAGAAAATTTCAAAATGTGTGGTGTTTGGGCTCATTTTGATGCTCTGAACAAGCTCATTTCAGAAAATCAGAAAATTTTGATTTTGCTCAAAAACTGGCCGAGATACGGTAGTTTTTAGATTTTTAAACAATTTTTGAAGAATCACAAAAAAGACCGTAACTTTTGAATAGTTACCCTAAGCTTCTAGAAACTAGAATTTTTGGAATCCGCTGTTCTAGGCCTTCAAAATGAGCGTAAAAATGACCTATTTTGCTTGATTTTGAAATTTCGGGTTTAAAGGCGCATGACCCAGAAAAACTGGAAATTTCGAAATTTTTCAAATTATGTCGTGTTTATACTCATTTTAAAGCTCTAACCTTGCTGATTATGAGAAAAATTATTGATTTTTCTGAAAAATTACTCGAGATACGGTACATTTACCATCTCTATGAAAAATGAGCCATTTTTCCGGGAACATTCAAAAGTGCCCCAACAAAATCTCTAATTTTCCAGCTTTTCTGACTCAGAAAAATGCGAGAAATTCGAAAATCATAGTTTCAAACTCTGAAAATCAAAATTTCCAGCGATCCAGCACAAAAATCGCCGCACTTCTTGCTCTTTTTGCACTCATTCAACCGATTCATGGAATTGTGACTATGAAAGTAGTCTTGGGCGGTCCGAATGATAGTTGTGCAAAATATACGAAAAAAGGACATGAGTTTTTGAAAATCACTCATGGTCGTATTATGCAGCAAACTGGTGGAGTTGTAAGTTTTGGTCTAAAAAATCGATTATCGATTTTTTGAAAATTGTTCTCGAATATCTTATAAATTACGTTTTTGAATTCGTTTTTACTGGACAATCAAATAGAGCCCCAACGCGATTTGTTGCGCTCAATTGTGAAATTTCAAGTTTAAAGGCGCATAACCCAAAAAATTTCGAAAAAATCGATCTTTATGAAAATAGGTCATGTTTATAGTCATTTTAAAGCTCTAAACAAGTTAAATTCAAAAAAAGCGTAAAATTTTGCATTTTGCTCAACAACTTTTCGAGATACGGTAGATTTTGTAAAAACGTCGATTATCGACTTTTTTACAGATCGTTGGAAATATGCTGTGCACACCGAAAACGTTCGATGAAGCAAAACTTACGTATACGATGGTTTGTGATGGTGTTTCAGTGAGTTTCAGCAATTCCAGAATTTCCGGAAAATTCTGGAATTTTTTTCTGGAATTAGAAAAAAAAACGAATTCAGATTCCTGGCATGGGATACTTGTTTATGCTCGCGGTGACAGCACGCAAACAAATGCTCTCAGGACCAATCGATTATCATTACAATGAGAAAATGATGGGATTGGTGGAGAATAAATTCTTGGATGCCGAGAATTTGAAAAATCAACAATTCGATCATGAGCAACATTTATTCATTAAAGCGGTCGAAATTGAAGGAATCCGGAAGTCTGAGTAGGTCAAATTGTTTTGAGTTGTTTGAAATCAGCTTGTTCGTGAAGCTTCAAAAACCGGAAAAAAAGTTTTGATGCCAAAGTTCGAAAATTTCCTAATTTTTAACAGGTCCTAACTCTTTCTACAGTAACCCAAACCACTTGAAACTATGATTTTCGAATTTCTCGCATTTTTCTGAGTCAGAAAAGCTGAAAAATTAGAGATTTTGGGGCACTTTTGCATGTTCCCGGAAAAATGGCTCATTTTTCATAGAGATGGTAAATGTACCGTATCTCGAGTAATTTTTAAGCAAAATCAATAATTCAAAGTTTCTCATAATCAGCAAGGTTAGAGCTTTAAAATGAGTATAAACACGACATAATTTGAAAATTTTCGAAATTTCCATTTTTCTGGGTCATGCGCCTTTAAACCCGAAATTTCCAAATTAAGCAAAATAAGCCATGTTTAGGCTTACTTGAAAGCTCTAAACAAAACAAATCCAAAACTTAGGTTTCGAATATTTCAGACTACAATGGGCACAGTTAGAGCACACTTTTGATTTTTGAGCAATTTCAGGAACGTTCAAAATCTACCGTAACTTGAGTAGTTTTCGAGCAGGACAAAAATTTTGTACAGTTTTGAATTGGGCGTGTTTAGAGCTTCAAAATGAAACTACACACGATAAAATTTAGACGATTTCGAAATTTTCAGAAAGTTTAAGGTGGACCATGCGCCTTTAAACCCGAATGCTGGTATGCTACCAAGTTTGGGCTCATTGTGAAGCCCTAAACAAGAGAAACTTAGAAAACGTAAAATCATAAGTTTGAACAAAAATGCACAAGGTTAGGGCAAGATTTCCATTTTTTGCGCTAGAATCTACTGTATCTCGGCTCATGTTACAGTAAGCTAGAAATTTAATCCAGATTTGAGTATTGCTCGTCCAGTACATTGAAATGAGTATAAGCATTACTAGTTTTGGTGAAATTTGAAAATTAAAATTTTTTCAAAGCTTATGCGCCTTTAATCCGAAAATTTCAGATATTTTCTATACGAGGACTGCGGATCGGTCAAAATGCGAGGACTGATTGCTGATCACGGATTGTATTTTATGCTTGGACCAGACGACAAAAAAAACGAACCAAAAAATCATTTGTCTAGAATGTATTATGAGCCATATGGTATTAACGAGCACATGGTCATGAACTAATATTGATTTTTCTGGAAAATAAAGAGATTTTTAATTGAATTGATTTTTTTTTTGATTTTTTTTGTTGATTCTCCAATTTTTAACTGAAATTTTCAAGTTTAGAGCTTCAAAATGAGCCCGAACACGATATAATTCGGAGAAAAAATCAATTTTCGCCGAAAACGCGCCAGGCACGAAAAATGCGTCAACACACCAAATATGCGTCAAGTCACGAAAAATGCGTCAAATTATTGAAATTGCTTCAAAACACGGAAAATGCGCCTATGGAAAAAAGCTTCAAGACACCAAATGTACATCATCAGGACACCAAAAATGAGCTAAGACACTGAAAATGCGCCAAAGCACCATAAATGCGCCAAGGCACTGAAAATGCGTTAAGGCACAAAAAACGTGCCAAGACACACAAAACGCGCCGAGGCACTAAAAATACGCCAAGTCACTGAAAACGCGTCACGATATATTTTGGAGAAAAAATCGATTTTCGTCGAAGACGCGCCAGGCACGAGAAATGCGTCAACACACATTCGACGCTTAGACGCCTTTTTGGTGCCTTGGCGCATTTTCAGTGACTTGACGCATTTTTGGTGCCTTGGCGCATTTTCAGTGACTTGACGCATTTTTGGTGCCTTGGCGCATTTTTGGTGACTTAAAAAATTCACAATTCACTACAGACTACAGAAATTATTTGTTATTTGAAATAAACAATAGGCAAAAAGGAAAAAAAAATGTTTGTCGAATTTTTCGGGTTACTGTAGGGAATTCGGTGAGCGATTGAGAATCTGAAAATGTGTCATCTTTTCAAAAAGTACAGTATCCCTTAAACTCACATTTTTCCAATTTTATTCATTGAATTTCAGAATTCCTGCTAATTTCTCCAAATGCTTTTTCGATGTTCCTGGTCGTCTAGGTGTGACAGTTAGTTTCTGAATAAATATTGTATTGAAAGTTTCCAAAACTACAGTAATCCTGAAATCGCCTAGTCGCCTATAAGTTCCCGCGCGTATTTTCAGTGCCTTGGCGCAGTTTTGGTGTCTTGGCGCATTTCTAGTGCATTGAAGCATTTTCAGTGACTTGACGCATTATAAGTGACCAGACGCATTTCTGGTGTCCTGATGCATATTTGGTGTCTTGACGCTTATTCCGAGCCTTGACGCATTTATGGTGCTGTGACGCGTTTTCAGTGCATCTGCGCGTTTTTGGTGCCTTGGTGCATTTTCAGTGACTTGACGCATTTATGATGCTTTTCCGCATTTTCAGTGTCTTGGCTCATTTTTGGTGTCCTGACGCTTTTTTCGAGCCTTGACGCATTTATGGTGATATGGCGCATTTTGAGTGCTATGGCGCAATTTCAGTAATTTGACGCATTTTTCGTGACTTGACGCATATTTGGTGGTACTAACTACAGTATTTCCCCAAATCTATAGAAATCCCTCAAAAATACCTCTTCTGAATCCTCTCGATTGCTCATCACAACTTCTGGCGACTCTCCATCCTCGTTGTCCCGAATTATAATGATTTTTGGATTGTCAGCCTTTTCAGCAGTCTCAGAATTTTTCAAAAATTCCATTCTCTGTTTTTGAACCTTCTCCACCAAATCGTTCAATTTGAAATTCCCGCGATTCTTCGATTTTGGCGCCAAATGTTGATTTTTCAAAAATTTCGAAAAATCCAGATTTGGATTTTCGAATTTCAGCCGTTGAAAATCGCGAATTTGATTGTATTCCAATGTTCCAACTTTGTAGAAAATTCGATTTTCCGGATTTTCAGAAGTTTCAGTAATTTCAGAAATTTCAGCCTTCAAGTTTTCAGGTTTTGGATTTCCAGAATTTTTTTCCGAATTTTCTGGAAATGAAAATCTTGCACTTTTCTTGATTCCTAGCGATTTTGAGCGCTGTTTTTGAATTTTTTCATCCCGTTTCTGGTCCAATTCTTTCTGTTTTTCCCACTCTTCTGGTGTCTTCGATTTGGTCCATGGATGGTAGTTAGCGTTGACCTCGGCAGCAGTTTGAGGACGGTCTTGGTAAAAATGGGACATCTGAAAATGAAAATAAAAAAAAATCGACCCAAAAAATCATAAAAATTGACCGAAAACTCAGAAAAATTTTTTGCAAAATGTTTTTTCAAAAATTCGAAAACCTACCGTAACTTTTCCACTTTTTGTCCCAGTTTGATGAAACATATATGTTTAAATGTATCTTGTTTTGAGCTTCAAAATGAGTATAAACACGACAAAGTTTGGACGATTTTGAAATTTTCGAAATTTTCCGGGTCCATGCGCCTTTAAACTCGAAATTGAATTGAGCAAAACATGTCGTGTTTAAGCTTATTTCAAAGCTCTAAACAAGAAAAACCTTAAAATTTAGGTTTCAAAAATTTCAGACTACAATGGGTACAGTTAGAGAGCATTTTTTAATTTTTGAGCAATTTCAGGAACGTTCAAAATCTACCGTAACTTGAGTAGTTTTCGAGCAGGACAAAAATATTAAACAGTTTTGAATTGGGCGTGTTTAGAGCTTCAAACTGAGCCTAAACACGATGAAATTTGGCCAATTTCAAAAATTTTGAAGTTTTAAACTGGACCATGCGCCTTTAAACCTGAAATTTCAAAATTGAGCGAAGCATACCGAGTTTGGGCTCATTTTGAAGCTCTGGACAAGGCAAACTCAAAAACCTACAATTTGACCAGTTTGGACAAATATGGACAAAGTTATGGCAAGATTTTCATTTCTGGGACAGTTTTTGTAACCTTCAAATTAAAGCAAAAAATATTGTTTTTTTTTCAAATTTTCACTTTCGAAACTGAATCTTCAAATTTTTTATGATCTTCTAATTTTCGTACTCTAGAAGACAGACACAAAAATAAAAAGGGAAATTTGGGAGATTTTTAAAGATAAGCCAAAAATTTTCCGCCGATTTTTCTTTTGTTTTCCCCAGATTTTCGGGGAAGAGGCTACAAAATAATCGTCATTTAAATAGATTTGAAAAATCCGATAAGAATCAAAATAGTGCGGATTTTTTGAGACATTTGTTCGGTTGTTCCATTAATTCAGTTTTTTTTTAATACTTGCGACCGGGCCTTTGCCGGGCCTACGCGGAATCTGCCATAGATTCTTTCAGAATCAATATTTTTAAACCAACTAAATTAAATATGATAGAACTTGACGAGTGCTACAAAATGCTATAATTTAATAAGTTGTATCTTGTTTATGAACAAAGTTACAAGCAAAAAACATAAACCCGGCCCGGCCCGGGCCGACGCGACAAGGTCCGGCCACTTTATGACTTGTAACTTTGTTCATAGACAAGACACAGTTTTCCAAATAATACCGTTTTGTAGTGCTCGTGGAGCTCTATCATATCTATTTTGGTAGATTTAAAAATATTGTTTCTGAATGAAAATATGGCGAGGCCCGCGAAAGGCCCGCTCGCAAGTATGTTTATCTTGGAATCAAAAAATTTTAATTTAGAAGAATTTTCATTCTGAATCATTCTGAAAATTTCAGATTATTAGAAACTCCAGAATTTCTAGAAGTTATTGTTACGAGAAATTCAAATTTTCAATTTTTGGAAAAAAAAAATTTGAAATTGAGAATTACTAAAGTTTCAAATTTTCGATTTTTTTCGAAATTTTTAAGACTTTTGGAATTTCTTTCAATCAGAAAAATTTAGAAATTTCCAGGAATTCCTAGACGTTTTATAGTCCCAACTCTTCCCAGTAGTCGTAAATTTTCAAGTTTTTAAATGATTTTTTTTTTCTGAATTTTTTTTTTCGAAAAAGCGACAGATTTATTATCATTTTTGATTGAATTGTTGTTGTCTGGAGTACTTTTTTTCTCTTAAAAAAATCTGGAGATTTATTGATGATGACGTATTGAGAAGTGTCTGAAAATTTGGAAATCTGAAAAAGGGAAAATGATCTTTGCAATAAGAAGAAACATAGAAAATATAAAATATTTCTGAATTTTTGAAATAATTCGTCAATTCGTAATAATTCGTCTTACAATAATTCGATAATTCGATAATTTTATTCGATAATTTTACAATAATTCGTCTTACAGGGTCACGTAAATCTATATTTATTTTTTTTTTCTTCAAAAGTTAACAGAGTGACATCGGGATGGACAAACGCCTCTTACGTTTTATATATATATATAAGGGAGATGCCTGCAACGTTTTTCAGAAATTTGAGAATGTTTTAAAGGTGGGGGGGACAGGAGATTTTACGGGAGATTTTTGTAGTTAGAGTATGCATTCTACCGTCACGGTGTACAACGCTTAATGTCACTCTGTGTACAGCTGTCGTCCTCGCCTTTATGTATGCAATCGGGCGTGCGCTTTCTCTTTGCCCGCGTGGCTCAGTCGGTAGTGGCGCCGCACCCTCAATCATCGCCCTCACAAGTTCAACTCCTCGAGGGCATATTTAAACGATATTTCGAGAACATTATTTTTTTCATGTCCCCCCACCTTTAAAATCGATTTTTTTTTCTAGTAATTAGGATTTCCAGTCTATCATACTTGTAATCCGGCCCTGCCATAACTTCCTTCAGAATCAATGTTTTCAAACCAACTCAATCAGGTATGATAGAGCTCTACGAGTACTACAAAACGGTATTATTTGGAATACTGTATCTTGTCTATGAACAGAGTTACGGAGCAAAAGGAAGAAGCCTGCCGGGTCCTGCGAGAAAAGCCACTTTATGATCTGTAACTTTGTTCATAGATAAGATACAGTATTCCAAATAATACTGTTTTGTAGAACTCGTAGAGCTCTATCATATCTAATTTAGTTGGTTCGAAAATATAGATTCTGAAAAGAATTATGGCAGGGCCCGCGAAGGTCCGGCAAAGGGTCGGATTACAAGTATGCAGTCTATTACTGGTGAATCCCAAAAATCTGAAACTATTACAAATTCCAACTTTTTGATTATTTGGATATTTGAATTTCTAAATTTCTGAATATTCCAGAAATTCTTAAAATCCAAAGATCTTAACTTTTGAATTTCTGAACTGTCCTCAAATACACCAATCCTGTATATTCTTTGATTTTTCGTTAGATAGATTCCCCAACTTTCTTCTCAAAAAATCCAGTTTTCCTTCGGAATTTTCCGTAAAATTCACCGTAAAAATCATGAGAAAAGATCAAAACGGACGGAGGATGTCCTCAAAAATAATCCTTATGATCTCACTATAAATAGATCTTGTAACCTAGTTAGAACGGCCCTCTTTTTTCAAACTACCGTAACTTTGGAAGTATTGGTATTATTGAGTTTGTCTGATTTCAATGTAATCAAAACCGTTTGAATTTTCATATTTAGTCTAAAACTGGAAAAATTACGGTAGTTTGAAAAAATCGAAAATCAAAATATTTTTTCGCAAAAAAATTTTTGAAGAACATTTTTTAAACTACCGTAACTTTGGAAATGTTCATTCGATTTTTGAAGTTATGGTATATTTGAGTTTGTCTTGTTTTGATAAACTCAAAACTGTTCAAATTTTTGAATTCGGATTTGAACTCAAAAAGTTACGGTAGCTTGAAAACTGAGATAATTTTTTTCAAAAAAACGTTTCTGGAACATTTTTTCAAACTACCGTAACTTTAACAATTTTCATCCGATATTGTGAAATTAGATATTTTTGAGTTTGACTTGTTTTGATAATTTCAAAACTGTCAAAATTTTTAAGTTCGGACTAGAACTCAAAAAGCTACGGTAGCTTGAAATTTTGAAAATTTTTAAATTTTCAAAAAAAAATCACAAGTTTCTATTTTCAGGATCAATGCACTGTATGTGGAGCCCAAAGTCAAAACTAGTCATTTTAATTGCAGGTAATTAAAATTTCCAATTTTTTCAAAAAAAAAAGTCATTAAAACTTTTTCCAGTTTCCCTAATAATTTCAATTATCTTCCTCACATGGTGCATTCTACCGTATGACTACAGTAATATCCCAAGGACCACACATTGTGATAATGTGAGTCTTTTAGGCGGGAAATTAAAAATTTCAAAAATTTCAGATTTTAAAAAACGAGACAAAGTATTTATTGTTCCCGATGTTTACGATAATCAGTGGGAGTGGATTAGGTGAGAGAATTTCTCAAAAATTTGATAAATTTGTTCAAGAAAAAATTAGGATTCCAAAAATCCAAGAATTCTGAAAATCAGCAAAAACTGAGCCGAGTTATGATGTTTTGAAGAAAAAAGTTAACAACTTTTTTCGAAATTTTATATTTTTCGAAATTTCAGGAAATCAATTATTCGAAATTTTCTCGCTTCTTGGAATGGCTGAAAAATTGAATCGAACTGCAATTTTCAATAAAAGAGACTGGTTTTTGAATTTTCGATTAAAAAATGTGAGGGAGAAAATTCCGAAAATCGCGGAAAATGTGAGATCGATGGATATTGAGGTACGGTACTTTTTTTTTGGAGAATTTAAATTTAATTTTTAAATAAAAGTTTCAATTTTCGAAAGGAATTTTGAAATCCTGATTTTTTGAAAATTTCAGATTTGTCGGAATTTTAAAAATACAGAAATTCAACATTTTTGAAAAATTCAGACTATCGTAACTTTTTGAGTTCTAGTCCGAACTTAAAAATTTTGACAGTTTTGAAATTATCAAAACAAGTCAAACTCAAAAATATCTAATTTTACAATATCGGATGAAAATTGTTAAAGTTACGGTAGTTTGAAAAAATGTTCCAGAAACGTTTTTTTGAAAAAAATTATCTCAGTTTTCAAGCTACCGTAACTTTTTGAGTTCAAATCCGAATTCAAAAATTTGAACAGTTTTGAGTTTATCAAAACAAGACAAACTCAAATATACCATAACTTCAAAAATCGAATGAACATTTCCAAAGTTACGGTAGTTTAAAAAATGTTCTCCAAAAATTTTTTTGCGAAAAAATATTTTGATTTTCGATTTTTTCAAACTACCGTAATTTTTCCAGTTTTAGACTAAATATGAAAATTCAAACGGTTTTGATTACATTGAAATCAGACAAACTCAATAATACCAATACTTCCAAAGTTACGGTAGTTTGAAAAAAGAGGGCCGTTCTAACTAGGTTACAAGATCTATTTATAGTGAGATCATAAGGATTATTTTTGAGGACATCCTCCGTCCGTTTTGATCTTTTCTCATGATTTTTACGGTGAATTTTACGGAAAATTCAGAAGGAAAACTGAAAAAAAAACTTTAGATCCATAATATGGAAATTTTCAAAAGTTCAGAAATTCAGAAATTCTAACATTTCAAAAATTTTCAGCCCTCCAACTCCATGCGATATATAAATTCTCCAGCTTGTTGTGAATACAATTTTCCTCACGTCCTCTATTGTGAGCAATCGAAATTCGTTGTGATCGATGGAAGATATTTTCAGGTGAATTTCCGAAAAAAATCTGTTTAAAAAATTTCAAAAAACTTTTTTTTTCCAGAGTTTCAAATATTTCGAAAATTTCGAATCTGAAATTCGCGGCTTTTTTGTGCCATCTGGATTAGAAATGGTGGAAGTTGATTCGATGATTTCTTTTGACGATTTGTCGAAATTCAAGTGAGATTATTAGAACAAATTTTGGAAAAAAAAAGTTTTTTTCAAATTTTTTTGGATTACAGTAATAACCCAATGTGATCGAATCTACAGTAATCCTTTAGAAATTGCGTTCACATTCGTCGTGGAGATTTCGTGACCGATGGACAGCATGCTGGAAGTGATCCGGAGTTCACTAGAAATGCCATTGAGTATATTTATGAGAAAAGTAAGTCTAACTTTTCAAGATTTCATCTGAAAAATTCGAAATTAAGGAATTTGGAATAAGTGTGTTCAAACGGTCAAAATGAGTATAATCATGACTAGGTTCGAAAGAAATTTTAAGAAAAAAAATTTTTTAGAACATTTTTGAGACTACCGTAATTTCTTTCAGTTTTGTCCGATTTTTGAAATTTTAAACTTTTTGAGTTTGTCTGTTTTAGCTGAACTTGAAACTATTTGAATTTTCAGGTTTGAACAAAAATTCCAAAAGTTACGGTAGTTTGAAAGTTTTGGCGCTTTTTTGGAAAAAAAGTTTTTGGTACATTTTTCAAACTACCGTAATTCATTCAATTTTTGTCAAATTTTTGAAAATTTAATTTTTTTGGGTTTGTCTATTTTAGCCAAACCTGAAACTGTTTGAATTTTTGAATTTAAACAAATATTCCAAAAGTTACGGTAGTTTGAAAATTCGAAAAAAACAGATTTTTTTGAAAAACAAAATTTGGTACATTTTTTTCAATCTACTGTAGCTCATTCAATTTTTGTTCAGTTTTTGAAATTTTTGTATTTCTGATTTTATCTATTTTTATCTAACGTTTCGGATTTTTGATTTTGGAGGAAAATTCCAAAAGTTACGGTAGTTTGAAAATTGTTTTTCAAACCTAGCAATATTTATACTCATTTTGAAGCTAATGGTACTTAGATTCAATTTTCCTATTTTTCAAAAAATTTCAGCCAATTTTTTTTCAGATCCCGGTCCAATTTTCATCTTCAGCAATGAACAAAATTGGGTGAAACAGGAAATTTCGAAAAAATCAAAATTGAAAAATGAGATTCGAATAATGCCAACGCCAAAAGAGAAGCCGTTCAAGGATTTGTATTTTTCTCAAAAATACTGTAATTCGGTGTTAATTACAGGTAATTAACCAATTAAAAAATTTTGCAAAACATTTTTTTTTTTGGCGCCAATTTTTTTTTTCAAAAATTTTGATATTTTCAGCTCCTTCCTCTACATTTGGCTGGTGGTTAGGATATTTGTCAAAAAATCAGACCAATGTTTATTTTAGAGATATTCGGGAAGTTGAGGATAGTGTAAGTACAGTAATCTTTTTCAAAAAAAAAATTATTTTCAGGTAAAATACCAAATGATCGATGACGATTTTTTCCCTGCGAAATGGAATAAATTGGGCATGATGAGCAATAATGGGACTATTTTTCTGAAGAAAAATGTCTGAAAATCTCGAAATTTTAGTTTGACTTTTTGTGATCTCTAATTTTTTAAAAATAAATTTTTTTGAATTTTTTTTTAATTCCATATTTATACTCATTAGAACCGGTTTTATTTGCTGATTCTAACCTTGCAATTTGTTTTGAGCTAGCTTGAAAATGTGCAAAGTTACGGGCCCAATTGCGCGCCAGTGAGAGACGCAGACACTCTCGCTGTCTGCGTCTCTTCTCGGCACGCGCGCGCAAATAGGGGCGTAACTTTGTTCATTTCTGAGCTAGCTCAATGAAACTTTCACTATTAAATTCATCAAAAAAAGACGGTTAGAATGAGTATAAATATCAAATAGTTTGGGGAATTTTTTTTTTAATATTTCGAAATATGGTTTTTAATTGTTCTACAGTCCAGGAAAAAAATACAACCAGGAATTAACCTGAGAAAACAAATTTAGATAAAATTAATGAAAAATTACCAGTCTTTATTCAACTTAACACATAATTAACAAAAAAAATCTGAAATTTCAAAAAAAAGGAAACAACTTTTCAAAAAACTTTAAAAATTCAAAAATTTAAAAAAAGTTTGTAAACAAGGAATATTCAAATGAGTATCTAAAGAAGTTCAAAAATTTGGAAAAATAGGATTTCTCATATTATTTGGCTGCTGGCGGTGGTTGTTTGGGATTTGGGGGTAAATGTTCTGAAAAAACAGAATTTTTATAAAATTAATTTTTTCAAATGGTTCTAACTTTGTCAATTCTGGTCCGCACCTAGAAATGTATTCATTTTCATTTTCAGCATGTTGTGAGCTACAAAATGAGCCTAAACACGCCCTTATTCGCTTCACTTTGAAATTTCATGGGTCCATGCACCTTTGAATTTGGGATTACTGTAGACTTTCGAAATTTTCCAAAACCAGGCTTGTTTATACTTAAATTGAAGCTCTCAACGCAGCAAATCTAAAAATTTAAAGTTCAAGTAAATTGGGTTACTGTACTTCGAGTTATGGTAAAATGAATTTTTGAAATTTGATATTTTTCCAAACTTTAAGGTCATTTCAAAGCTCTCGGAGAGCCAAACTCGAAATGTTTCATATATGTCACACTTAGCACAATATAAGCTTCAAAATAGGCATACACACGCCTAGTTTTACCCTGTCCCTAACTTTCAAGGGTCAATGCGCCTTTAAAATTGGGATTACTGTAGATTTTCGAACATCTTCAAAACTAGGAGTGTTTATACTCATTTCGAAGCTCTCAAAAAGCTATACTCGAAAATTATGATTTTAAATGTGTTGGGTTACTGTACTTCGAGTAATGGACCAAACAAGAATTGAGAAATTTCAAATTTCTCCAAATATTGGTCTTCTGGGCTCATTTTAAAGCTCTCGAAAAGCCCAATTCATTTTTTGTTGTAATTTTCACACTCAGCACAATATGAGCTTTAAAATAAGCCTAAACACGCCTATATTTTCTCTACTTCGAAATTCTCCGCGCCTTTAAAATTGGGATTGTTGTAGATTTCCAAAATCCAGCAAACATAGGCTTTTTTAGGCTCATTTTGAAGCTCATAACGAGTAGAATTTGAAATCCTAAAAATAATGAATACCTGGTGACTCTCCGGTCCACGAGCCCATCTTCCCGACCAAAAACTCTGAAAACCATCGTTTGATGGTTTCCAGAGAAACTTCTGGAATTTTCTCGTCCTCTTGAACATTCGGCTGATCATTTAATTCCGAAATAAATCCATGAATATTTTTTAGGGTCTGAGAGGCTGTGTGGCCCATTCGAAACTGAATTTCAACCATGTCCCTTCGAAATGTCGCACTTTTCCAATCATAATACTCTTTTGGATGTTGTGTCACAAATTTCAGCTCATCATCCCGAACTTTTGGCTTTTCCAGTTTTGCCGTCTTTTTTGGCATTTTTTTTGAGGCTCTGTAGATTATTAAAATTAATTGAAAAAGCACGGAAAATGAATAAAAATTCTCAATTATTTCAAAAAGTTCAAAAATCCAAAGAAAAACTTTAAAGGTGGGGGGACAGGAGATTTTTCGTATTTTTTTTGTAGCTAGAGTATGCATTCTACCGTGACGGTGTACAACGCTTAATGTCACTCTGCGTACAGCTGTCGTCCTCGCCTTTATGTATGCAATCGGGCGGCCGCTTTCTCTTTGCCCGCGTGGCTCAGTCGGTAGCGGCGCCGCACCCTCAATCATCGCCCTCACAAGTTCAACTCCTCGAGGGGCATCTTTGAACGAAATTTCCAGAACATTATTTTTTTCATGTCCCCCCACCTTTAAAGCTCGAATATCCTAAACAAAGTAAAGATAATTTCCGTTTTTTTTCGTGGGAGGTGAATTCGGACGTGGAATCAACTTTGGCTTAGGATGGATAAGGAAGAGGATGAGGATCGGATATGGATCGAGTACTTGAAAGGCTCTGAAAGGCTCACTGGAGAAGGTTGTAATCGGGGGGTGGAACTTCGGTATGAGACCTATATCATTCGAAAGCTGAGAATGAGACATTTTCAAATATGTATTTTGATTTTGCTGAGGAGCTACCAGTTTCGAGAAAATCGGGTTCGAAATCTGAGAAATTGCAAATGCAAAGGGGGGACCCCATAGTGTTTTTTTTTGCGAAAATTCCAAAAGCGAAAATTCGAGTGAGATTTAAACGTGAGGAAAACATATATATATATATATATATATATATATATATATAAGAAAAAGGAAATTTTGAAAAAATTATATTCTTGACGAAAAGAACTGCGTGAATTAAATTAGAAACCCAAGACCCAAGATGACCTCAGGGAGATAAGATTACTATAAAGGAAGAGAAAAAGTAGAGGGAACAATCAGTTCTCCCTTTTCGGAGCTCCTGAGAGGGGACCGGAGAAGGGACCCGGACTCCGGATTCCGGATTCCGGGGTTCAGATTCCTGTATTCGGATTCCGGAAATCTGGGTCCGGATTTCTAGATCCGGATTCCTGGGTCCGGATTCCGGAAATCTGGGTCCGGATTTCTAGATCCGGATTCCTGGGTCCGGATTCCGGAAATCTGGGTCCGGATTCCAAATTCCGAAATTCCGGGTCCGTGTTCCAGATTCCTGGATCCGGATTTCGGATTCCTGAATCCGGATTCTTGGTCCGGATTCCGAATCCCGAGGTCCGAAAAAAGAAAAAAAGAAAAACGATTGGAAGTTCTTTGATTAGCTTTTCAGATTTCTGATTGATTAAAGAATTTAAAGGTGGGGGGACATGAAAAAAAAAAAAATGTTCTCGAAATTCCGTTCAAAGATGCCTCTCGAGGAGTTGAACTTGTGAGGGCGATGATTGAGGGTGCGGCGCCGCTACCGACTGAGCCACGCGTGCAAAGAGAAAGCGCACGCCCGATTTCATACATAAAGGCGGGACGACAGCTGTACGCAGAGTGACATTAAGCGTTGTACACCGTCACGGTAGAATGCATACTCTAGCTACAAAAAAAACTACGAAAAATCTCCTGTCCCCCCCCCCCCCCACCTTTAAAGAATTTAAGAAAAAAATATTCTGACAACCTCGGAAATCTTTAAAAAACTGAGAAATAAGTTATTCGTTACTTTTTGGGAAAAAAGGAAACTGAAAATTTCTTTTTGAAAATTTTCTTTAAAAAATTTCAAATTCAGAAATTCAGAAATTTATTTATTGAGAAAAAAATGACTTTGAGCTTAAAATTTATGTGAAAATCCGAAAAAAAAACACTGCACTCTCGACTTTTTTTTGTCTGAAAATCTACTTTCATCGGAAAAAAAATCCTGCTTTTTAGAAACTATTTTAGACTTTTTTTTCGCTATTTTTTACCTATCATTATCTCATAAACCTTCAAAGTAAAGCCAAAAAAAACTCTAATTATAGCCTTAAAATTCCAGCAAAATGTCATAAAAATGACCAAGAAAACACCTTTTCTCGAAAAAAATAGCCGCGCGATTTTAGAGGAATTCGGAGAAGAAGAAGAAGAGGAAAACAACGACACGCCGACTAGCAGAAAAATGAGTGAGGAAGGAGAAGAAGAAGGCGAGAAATAGTACAGAAAATGAAGAGAGTGGTTAGAGAAAACGAGGAAAAAACTTTCTCGCATGATAGAGGAAAAGAGAGAGAGAGAGAGAAAGAGGAAGAGAGAGAGAGAGAGAGAGAGAGAGAGAGAGAGAGAGAGAGAGACGCAGAGAATTGGGCGCCGCGGAAGAAGAAAGTGACCAACAAACAACATGGCTGTCGCGCCCGAGGCGCACGGGTTTTGGGTTTTGAATTTCTTTCGAATATCAGCATACTTTTAAAATTCCGGGCCGGCCCGCCAAAGCCCGGGCCCGGGCCCGGGCCGGGTTGGGCCTGAGGAAATTTTCAAGGCCCGGTGTCAAAAATTCTGTATTTTTGAGCCAAATTTTGAGCTCTCAATATAATTTTTTCCATTTTTTTTCGTATTTCGGATTGTTTGTCTGTCTGATCAAAAAAGATCGAAAAACTCGAAAAAAAATTTTTTGGTTGGAAAAAATCACATAAGGGTCCCCCCTTATGTGTTTTTTGAAAATTTCGAAACTAGTGAAATGACGGGCCCGGGCCGGGCCTCCGAAATTCCGGAAAAAGCCCGGCCCGGCCCGTTACAAGTATGAATATCAGGTTTTTGTACAGCTTCAAATTTTTGCAACAGTAGCCCAAAAGCTTTGAAAAAAGCATTTTTTAACTTCCGTTGTTAAGAGCTACAAAATGATTATAAAAATGGCAATTTTCGAAGAATTTCAGAAATCTACAGTAATCCCAAATTTCAAGTCGCAGGGACTCATGAAATTTCAAAATGAGCATAAACACGCCTAGGTTTAGTGGATTTTGAAAATCTACAGTAATCCTAAATTTATAGGCGCAAGGACCCATGAAATTCCAAAGTAAACCGAACGAGGTCTTGATTGGGCTCATTTTGAAGATCGGAACATGACGATTTCAAAAATTTAAGTCAACAACTTAATTTTGAGAAAATTACCGTAAAACCTCTAATAGAATGACACCCGGATCGGCCACTTTGAGCCTATATATCTCATTTTCTGTGAAAGATATCAAAAAGTGGCTAATTAGTAAAATGTTGCTGATATCCTGATAAACATTTTACTAGTTAACCACTTTTTGATATCTTTCAAAAGAAGTGAGATATATAGGCTCAAAGTGGACGATCCGGGTGTCGTTCTATTAGAGGTTTTACGGTAACCGAGCTATTTCAAAAAATAAAATTCCAAAAAAAAATTTATTTCAATTAAAAAATATTCACACAGCCAGAGAAAAACCAGAATTATTCACCAGACAATGTGCTCATTAATACCATATGGCTCATAATTCATTCTCTCAAAATGACTGTGGTATCCTTTTTTTGGTCCAACGATAAAATACAATCCGTGATCAGCAATCAGTCCTCGAGTGCATAATATCTGAAAATTTCCATGGAAAAAGCTTCAAATTGAGCCTAAACACAGCCTATTTTGCTATAATTTGAAATTTTCAAAATCGCCAAAAATGAAAATCTAGGCCTAACATGCCTTCGAATTCAGTGATTTCTGTATTGTTGAGTTTGTCTTGTCTAGACAGTCACAATGAGCTCAAACATGACATGTTTTACTCAATTTTGAATTTTGAGGTTTAAAGGCGCATGGTCCCTTCGAAAAATTGGAAAAAAACGAGATTTTTGAACAGTGGTCGTGTTTGGGCTCATTTTATCTAATTTTTTGGACTTGCCCTGTCTATAGCTTTAAAATGAGCCCGAATATGACCCATTTTGGTAAAACTTGAAATTTGAAATTTTGAAAATCTTGACATTTTTTGTTGACTGAAGGGAAAATCGGATTCAGCATGTTTACTTTAAAAGAAAGCAATTTTGGATTGAAAAATGCAAAAAATGAAATGAAAAAAGGAAAAAAATTGGTGAAGAAAGTTCCAGAATTTTTGGAGAATTCTGTGAATTTTCCGAATTTAGAAGAAGAAATCAAATTTTATTCAAAACTCATGTTTGAAAATTCTGAAGTCCCGCTAAAAATTCAGAAGACGTTGGAAGTGATTCAGAAGACTCTCCAGAAGATTCCGAACTCGAAAGCGATCCAGAAGACGATTTAGACGACGTCAAGGATTCTGAAACCTCGAAAATTCTCATTTTTCTTCTTTTCCCGATTCTTGGAGCTATTGTTTTTTACTGGATTTTTCTTGAATTTTACGCTTTCTCATGAATAAATTTTTGTGAAACTTGATTTTTCGAATTTGGGGCATCGAGAGCTTTGAAATGAGTATAAACAAGCTGTACTTTGTGGAAATTTGATTTTCGGGCCATTTTTTGAAAATGGCCCGTACTTAGGATACGGTACCATAAAAAATCTAGAAAATAAAAATTTCGTATTTTTCAAGTTTTGAGCTTCAAAATGAGCCTAAACACGACCACTTTTGGTGAAAATTGAAAGTTTTCTTCAGGGGTCCATTTTTCAAGGATCCATGCGCCTTTAAAATCGGAAATTCAAAATTGTCAGAAAGTGGTCATGTTTAGGCTCATTTTGAAGCCTAGAACATGAAAAACTCAAAACTCAAAAACTTTTCCGTTTACCTTCGAAATGAAAAGAGATACAGTAGGATTTATAGATTTGGCTTTGAAGGATAAAGTGAATCTACCGTATCTTGGCCAGTTTTTGGTACAGGAACACAACTTAAGTCACATTTTTGAGTTTAACAAGTTTTGCGCTTTGAAATGAGCCTAAACACGACTAGTTTTGGTCAAGAATGAAAATTTTCAATTTTTCAAGGGTCCATGCGCCTTTAAACTTGGAAATTCAAAATTGTCAGAAATATGTCGTGTTTGGGCCCATTTTAAAGCTCTCAACGCGACAAACTGAAATTTTCAAGTTTCGAAAATCCTAGAAGTTCAGAAAACTCCAAAAAAATAGGAAAAAAAAACAATTTTCCAAAAATTTTCAAAAAATTTTTTTTACTAATTTTCAAAAAATCACTTCAGATCGAAACCCAAATAATTTTTTCTATATTTCCTATCTCTACTACTCTAAAATTATTGCGAAATCCTCCACAACATTGGTCAACACGCGTTCTTATTTTTCTCAAATGTCTGCGTCTTTCAAAAAATCGAAAAAAAGATATTACTCATGCTAAAAAGGCCCAAAATATAAGGAATTTTGGAAAATTGTGTGAAATTTCGAAATATTACAGAACTTTGGATAATTTCAGATATCAAAATGGGATTTGTATATAAGGAAAATCTGGAAAATGAGATTATTATACTTGAAATTTGAATTTTAGCTTATATTTCTAAAAACATGGCTTTCACCCCTACACTTGTCAAGGTAATTAGAATATTTCGAAAGAAAATTTTCAGAATTTTCTAGAATTTCCCATTTCCAGCTCGCCGAGTCCTACAGATCTGACAAAATGGTGTGCAGGAAATGCTATGCTCGTCTGCCGAAAGGAGCCACCAACTGCCGAAAGAGCAAATGTGGACATTCTAGCGATTTGAGAAAGAAGAAAGAAATCAAGTAGGAATTTTCTAAAATTAGAGGCTGAGAGCTTCAAAATGAGCCTAAACAAGCCTATGTTTTTGAAAATTTAGAATTTCTCGCCTTTTTTTGAATGGGTTCTAACTTGAGATACAGTAATCCAAACTTTTCAAAAATAACATTTTTGAATTTGCCAAGTTAAGAGCTTCAAAATGAGCCTCAACACGACTATAATTGGAATTTTTTGAAATTTTTCGACATTTTTTGGGGGGTCATGCGCCTTTAAACCTGAAATTTCAAAATTAAGCAAAGATAGTCGTGTTTAGGCTCATTTTGAAGCGCCTAACTTGAGGAATTCAAAAAATATTTTTTCAAAACTTTTCGCGGTACCGTATTCCAAGTATGGACCACTAAAAAAGGTTTAAAGTTGAAATTTCTCCAAAGTACGGCTTGTTTATACTATTTTTGAAGCTCTCGGCTAGGCAAAATCAAAAAATTTGGTTTCAATATACTTTATTGATTCTTTTCAGATGTCATCCACCAAAAATTGCCTACAAATAGACAACCTGGGTGGTCCATCTTTTTTTTTTTTTTTCGACATAATTTATTTTTTTTTGGGGGTTTTTTTTTTTACTTTTTTTGATCTCTGAATGTTTAAATCTTTAATTTTGTGTGTTTTCAATAAAGCTTTTTTTAACCCAACAATTCCAAATCTGAAAATTTTCAGAGAAAAAAAAAGTTTGCAACAAAAGCGTTGATTATTCGGAAAGCCGTACTTTGGAGAAATTTTAACTTTAAACCTTTTTTAGTGGTCCATACTTGGGATACGGCACCGCGAAAAGTTTTGAAAAAATATTTTCTGAATTCCTCAAGTTAGGCGCTTCAAAATGAGCCTAAACACGACTATCTTTGCTTAATTTTGAAATTTCAGGTTTAAAGGCGCATGACCCCCCAAAAAATGTGGAAAAATTTCAAAAAATTCCAATTATAGTCGTGTTGAGGCTCATTTTGAAGCTCTAAGAAAAAAATTTTATTAAACAAACGCGTTTTCAGGAACGTTTTTCAATGGAACAAGAGAAAAAGTGATAGATTTTGAGACAACAAATCTCAGATGAAGTGAAAATTCTGAATTTATAATTCTGAAATACCAAATACTGAAATGTTCAGTGATTTTGAATGGGCTGCCCAGTAGATTGTAGATTTCTCCATTGATTTGACAATTTTTGAAAATGATTTTGAACTTTTCAAGACGTTGATTTTGGAGGAATTTCTGAAAAATGTTTAATTTCCGAATTTCTGAATTCTTGAATTCTTGAATTCTTGAATTCTTGAATTCTTGAATTATTGAATTCTTGAATTCTTGAATTCCTAATTTTCCAGAACCTCCTCACCTCCTTCAAGTACGCCACATCTTCCGACGAAACGTTCTCCACTAGAATCTCTCCTTTTTTAAAATGAGCAATTTCAAAATTCTGAATTTCCGTAATAATTCGATAACTTGGACAATAAATCTCTTCAGAATCCATTCACGCCTTCATTTTCGAAATTTCGTTTAATTCCAAAAATTTTCGATCTTCCGAAAAGTCGATTCGTTGGATTGTACGATTTTCTTCTACTTTGGAAGTGTCGTGAACAAAATTGAAAACCAAAATTTTCGGAAAAATGAATTCCAAAATTTTCTTTAATTCCTCTTGTTTTGTCGAAACCATCCATAAAGTTTCAACTTTTAGAAACTTTTTGGGTCCAATAGAATTTTTTAATTCTCCCAAAAATTTCAGATTTCTCTCATATAATTTTGAAAAATCCGGCGTTCGATTTTGTCGAAAAATCCTGGTCAAATCAAAATTGAATGTGATTTTCTGAATTTCTCCTTTCTGAAATTTCAGCTGCAATTCCAAATCTTTGAAAAAAATCGATTGAAAATTTTCCTCGGAAAAATATTGTTTCCTTCGAAATCTTCCATTTTCAGTTGTTTCAATTCTCGCCTGATTTGGTCCATTTTCAAAGTACAGTAATCTCTGAAAATTATCGGCTTTCAAATGATATTCAGGTGATAATTGTATTTCATATCCGATTGATCGAAAATCATCGAAAGAAATTCCAATTTCATGAATATAGGTATCAGGTTTCACGGTGTCCACACATTTTCGAATTCCAGCGGAAACTTTTCGCAGGATTTGGCTGAAAACTTAAAAAATGAATTCATCACGTTTACAGCTTCAAAATGAGCGCAAACACCACCCAATTTGTTGAAATTGGAAATTTTGAGTTTTCCGGAAAAAAATTTAAATATTTCAAAATTTTTCGAAACTCATCTCGTTTATGCTCATTTTGACCGCCTTGACAAGCTTATTTCAGAAAATTATTTTTAATGAAAATATGACACAAATTGAGCAAGTTACGGTAGAATTTCCAGAGTTTTTGAAAAATGTCTCTAGCCCACCGAAAATTTGTATTATCAGAAAACGTCGTGTTTAGGCTCATATTGACCGTTTTACCAAGCTGATTATGAACATTTTGTTATCAGAGAGATCAGAAAAGAATTTGAAGAGTTACGGTAGAATTTTTGAGAAAATCTCCAAAAAAAAACTCACATTTCAAAAAGGCCCAAATGTTTCAACAAAATCTCCATTATCAAATTATTTTCAAAAACTTTCAGTGACAAAATGTTATCGATTGGCTTAATTGATAGTTTCCTGAGGTCCTGAAAATATCATCATCATCATTCTTACAATTGTTATATAAATATATGAAGTAGTGTCTCTTTATTTCTCGGTCTGTCAGCAAATTTTGAAAAGCTTGAAAATTAAATTAAATTGACGTGACCCTTTGAGTAAGACAGGGGAGCGAAGCGACGAACGGAAGATATAGGTTATATTGCGCCGAAGGCGCACCAGCCAGCTTTTTGAAGCGTCGGAGGCGCGGCAAACAAAAATAAATGAAGTTGCGTTTCTTTATTTATTTATATCTCACTCTGTCCGCACATGTGGAAAAACTTGAATTAAAATATAAACTGATGTGATCTTTAAAAAGGGAGTGAGTCGCGAAGCGCCGAAGGCGCACCAGCCAGCTGTTTGTAGCGCCTGAGGCGCGGCAAACAGGCTGGTAAAATTTTTAAAAAGTTAAAAAATTTAATTACAGGGTGGCTTTTAATTACCGGCACATAATTTTGGCGGCATGGTTCTCGTTGCTGGTACGCAATAGGAGCATCAAATTTTGTACGTTTAATTATTAATTCATAATTAGTATTTCTGCCAATTTTCAGATTTATTGGTCGAGCTTCAGCTAAATGGCGAGCCCTAACGTCCACCATGCGAAGTTATCAGCCTTCAGATGTAGGGCGTTAATCGAAACGAGATCATTTAACGCATTGCGATTGCAGACGTGTGGTGTTTTGAGGTAATCAAAAGATTCACCGAGTCTGGATCTCTATTTGATCGCATTGGGAGAAGAAGAAAAGCTACGGTGACAACTACAGAAAACGTTGAAGCTGTTGGATATCAAATCAGGAGTAGCCTACATAGATCGTTCAGAAAATTGGCCATTAATATGGTTTTTAGTTCAAAAGATAGCCCGAAAGAGGCTTAATCTAAAATGCTATTGTATTCCAAAAGCAGTCATCTTGTCGGAGAGCAATAAGCAGTTGCGTCTGGACAAGGCTAAATTTCCTCTGGGTGGCACGCAGCGAGGAAAACATTTGGGGTCCGTTTTCTTTACGAGCAGTGGTTCACGATTGAAGCCGAATCCAACTTTCAAAGTTTTTATGGATTAGCCACGGATAGCAAGGAAGCTTTTGAAAAAGAAAAAAATCATTCCTGGAGTTTTCCACCCGGCCAGAATTACGGTTTTTTATGCGATATGCTCAAATAGCAACTTTCATAGATAAAAACGTCCGTGTCGTCGAAAAAAAGTACATCGAGCAAATCTTGAAGAAGAATCTGCTCCCACGGACCGAATACTACTTTGAACGGGTACATTTGGTTCACCAGAATGACGAAGCTCCAGGCCACACCGCCAAATTCACCCAGCAGTGGTGCGAGGCGCACCTGCCTGGGGAGACGAATGGCCAGCCTACTCGCTGGATTTGAAACCCCTTGANTATTTCATCTAGGGTTTTGCAGAACAAGGTCTGCTCAACACCCTATTCAACTTTAGCGGCTCTGGAACAAATACTTTTCGAGAAATGGTACAAACTTTCGACCGTGCCACCATCAATGCCTACCGACGACGTCTTCCGACCGTAACTGAGGCGAACGATGACCAAATCGAAAAATTCTTGTTGATTATAATTTTCGTACGTTTAAATAAATATACTGTTGAGTTTCATCGGTTTTCGGCTATTACTTTTCGAGAAAACCTCTTTCAAACATGTGCCGGTAATTGAAAGCCACCCTGTACTCAACATCTGAAACTCTTGCCTTTTTAGCCTTTTCCTCGAAACTGAAACTGGTAAAATTCACATTATTTCCGTCGAATCGATATCCGAAAAATCGATTTTTTCCATTTGGAATTGGCCAAACTTCAGATTTTTTGACTCTTGGAGAATTCGAAAGTGGTTGGAATCCTCCGAAACTTTCAGGAAATATTGATTTTTCGAAATGGTTTTTACAATGGAGCCAAATAGAGAAAAATGGACGACTGATGAAAACCTGTATGAAAATTAGAAATTTAGAATTTCAGATTTTTCTAATTATCTAAAATTCAATTCGAAATTTCGATGAAATTTTGAAAAATTCCGAGAAATGCGAACATTTCAAAAAATCAGTATCAAGAATTCAAGAATTCAAGAATTCAAGAATTCAAGAATTCAAAAAAAAACTAACTTTTCGAATGTTCTCCAACATTTCCAGTGTAATTTCCTCCACTTTGATCCATAACCTTATTTCTTCTTCATCAAAATTCTCCGTTTTCCACATTTCCAATGACAGTAACCTTATCACATCTACAGTAATCCCATCATCCAAATCTATCAGGCGTACTGTATTCATTGCCTGCATATCAAAGTACGGTAGCACCATAATAGCATTGGCAATTGAATGTGTTCGTAATGCCACTGTTTCACAGATCAGTTTTTGGTCAGATTTTAGAATTTTTTCCAAGTTTTTATAAATTCGAAATTCAATTGGATCCAAATAATTTTTACGAAATTCCTGATTTTTGTGATCTTCCGAATACCAAAAATCAATGAAAAAAACTCGAAATTTCTTCCTCTGCTCCTTTAAAATCTTCTCCAAATCTTCCAAAAAAATCGATAAAAAATCAACGTTTTCTACAGTAATCTCTTCATTTAGATGTCGGATTACTGTATCCTCTCCAAATTGTAAAAAATCGATATTCAATTTTTCTGAGCCATATAAACAATGAAATTGGGCTTTCCTTCTGGCAAAAGATATTGCTAGGACTTCTAATTTGTTGAAAAATTGGTTGGGAAATTTTATAAATTTTGAAAAATGGACCATCTGAAAATTATTA